AAATGAATCAAGTCAGTGCCAGACGCCAGTAAAACACAATTGCTTTCTCAATCTAAATTCGGCAGTACCCAAGAAGCCCTTAGGGTGGACTTTACACTCTCCCTCCTTAGATCAAGAGGCAGCTGGATGAGGGTGTCAAGATGCTGTTAGAAGAAGGAAAGGCGGCATTACAACGTGCTGAGGATAACATGAGTACTCTTTCTGACGAAAACACTGAGATGCAGAAGAAAGCTAACCAGTGAGTGTGACGATACTTTGGGGGTGGTTGGGGGTGTGGGGGTGTAACTTGTAAGGGGGATTTACTTGAATGTGACCGGTTTATATGTTTTTGTGATCTTAATCTTCCACCCTCACAGAGCGAGACGAATTGCCCAAGAGCAGGAAACAAAGTCCCAAGAAACAGTAGCAATGGCTCTGGAAGCTGAGGAACTATCAACCAGCGCTCTTGACACTGCTAAGAGTGCCAGGAACACACTGAGAGATACACAGGTTAGTTGGTTGAGGGGGGGGGGGGAGGGGGGCCGGGGGGGGGGGGCCAGTTGGGTATTATCCAACTCAGCTGGTACTCTAACTATGGTGTCAGGTGCACTTGTATCTCGTTAAACGTGATAGTATGATATCGGATATATTTGGAACATATCTGGTGGTGTGTTAAGTCATGACATAACACCTTTCTGTTCAGATTTAAATCACTCCTCGATTATTATATATTTTTATAACTACTTGCGTTTTTCAGGATAAGTTAGATGATCTTACAACAGATTTAGGTGAACTGAAAGAGGAATATGAGCTAGCTAAGAGCGCTGCTACTAAATACATATCCTCCGCCGAGGATACTTTGCAGGCCGCCACACAACTGAAAGAAGCGGTCAGTGATTTGGTCAAAATACGGAAAACTTTATATTATAGTCAATCTCTTGTTATGTTCCAATAAATAATGATACAGACAATATTCCTCTTTTTGTATAGGATTTATGTGAAGAAATATGGACGCATTCTAAGCAGATACACATAAAAACCTAATATTAGATACAAATATCAAATATGAGTTTTTTTTCAGGCGTGTAGCGCCAGCGGTAACTTGGATCTGGAGGCCTTGAAGGGAAGTCTAGCTGCACTGGATAAGAAAGCCAAAGCAGCAGCCGATGACGCCATACAGCTTCAGGAACGGGCTAATGAGGTGAGTTAAACAAGTCTGCTGGTATTTCCTGTTAGTCAAAGTTTTGAGGGAGATAAGTGACACTTAATTAAACTCAAATCTAGAATTTAACAGAAATAATATGAGACATAACTTAAACCAGAAATTTAACATAAAAACTTATACCAGCTTAATCTGTCCAACTTTTATTAGCTTTGTCACACGGCAGGAAGAAGTCTCCTTTTCTCGTTTTCATCAGGGTGTTTCAGTCGGTTTGAAATGAAAAATCGAAACGGCTGAAGTCTCCAGTATACTATAATTGGATGCAAGCAACAATAAAGCACTGGCAGTAGAATGAAGGACAATGTCGCATACTTTTTTTCATGCCGGAACCTAGATGACAAATCTGAAATCCATTCGCTCATAATGATAAGACCTTCACGCAGCGTCTCCTTAGCGTGTTCTTTATCCAGCATTTCGTTTCCTTCCTGTCCATTGCCAAATTTATGGCCGTATGTAATGGCTGCCTCGAGCTCGTCAAAGTTACTTTTCATTACAGCAATGTTCTGTGTGTAGCTATAAACCAAATAAATTGAGAACAGAAGGGCCGGTATGTTGAAGATAACATATACCAGTGTAACAATCAATACCGTGCTCGAAGCCTGGCCGTGCTTCATCACAGTCGCATTGGTCTTCTTAGCCCGGGCGTTTGCTCTCCTCAAGAAGATCCAGCAGAGGAGGACGCTTATGAAAATCGGCAGGACAGGCAGGCCAAACAGACAGGATTTCAGCAAAAATATGGTGCTCTTGTTGGTGAACGTCTCCTGGATAGTCACTGATAAACCATCAAAAGATTGTGACAATACCCATGCTGTTTCTCGTGATACTAGCGCGTCAAATCCTTCACTAGGAGTCACAGTGAGAGTCGCAGTAGGAGTCGCAGTGAGAGTCGCAGTAGGAGTCACAGTAGGAGTGACATTAGGAGTGACATTATATTGACTATTAGAACTAAAGTGACTACTAAAGTGACTACTTTTTATAAAGGGAACACCGAGACCGTCAATCTGACAACTTGAGTAGTTGGGTTTGTATCTTACCGTGGCTTTTCCGCTAGCTATAGGTCCAATGAAGAGTGTGGTGGCCACTAATATTGCCACTATTCCAGGGATAATCCATGCGCTGTTAGGTTTAGCTTGAAGGTGAGGGTATTTGAGGAAAAGAAGCCTTGAGACACTCAACATGGCCACCATGAAGATAACCATCTCTTGGCACACACACCACATTGCATACCAAGTAAGACAGAAAGTACTGTCATGAAAAAGCAGTTTTTCTGTCCAGTTTTGCCTCCCAACGAAGAGAACTTCAATTATCGGGAAGAGAAGGATGCAGATTGCCAAGTCCAAGAAAGATATCAGAGTGTAGATCCTCTTGAAGTAAGTGCCGTTCTCATGAGAGCTTTTTTGGGTTGAGAAGAAGTAGCAGCAGATCAAATTGGCTGGTATTCCTATCACCATCCCAATGATGAGGGTTGTTCCAAAGGCGGCATCTAGTGTTCCGTTGGGCTTCTCTACTTTTCTAACCAACTCGTTTAGGTTGAGTACATCATCTATAATTGTAAAGATACCTTCCGCCGTCATACTACTCCCTGTAGTATCGCTAAGTGTAAAATACAACCTAACCTTACTGCTACGAATAAATAAACGCATGTGAATTGTGAGTGAAGAGCAGAGCCTTCAATTTCAAAGCATCGTCTTCACACGAATCATCTTTTCCATTGTCTGTTTGGCTGAACATTGCTTTGCACTAAACTATATAGTCTGGGTATGTTTGGAAGGAACAGCTTTGTTCCATTGTGTATAAATCAGCTGTACTATTGTTAGATGTCAATGGAATTACTGCCTAGGCAGACCCACCGTCGTTAGATTGGTATTAAATTGATGTGTCCATCGTCAACTTATTGTGTTTAAATTACGAACAGCCTATGAATCAAATTGCATCAAAGCCATTCGAGAATTTAGTGTGCCTATTTCGACAAACAAGATTGGAATAAACTGTTTTTGATTACAAGAAGTTTTTATTGACCAACATCTAACTTTACTTACTTGATTCACTCTTAGATCTACAGCATCTAAAATGTATCAAATTAACATATTAGAATGCATGAGTGACGGTTTAGAAGATACGAGATAATCAGTGTGGGTTTAGGAAGAACAGGTCATTCATTGATCAGATTTATTCACTCCGCAACATTATACATAACTGCCTTGAATATAATCTAAATTTCAAGACAGCTGAAGCTCATTTAGATAATCAATGTGTCTATTCTGAACGGAAAGCATGATGTACAGTACCGTACCGACTATCATGTATACTGAGTGTAAACGCACGGATCATAGCTTATCACAGCTTATCACAGCTTATCACAGTTTATCACAGATTACAATGGATAAGACAGCTCACTAATAGTAATTTCAATGAATGTAACCGTGTTTAACTGCGCAGCTTAAATTTAAAAGCTTAAAAGTGAGGGGACCTTAGAAAAAGTTTTTTTCTCGTGCAAATCCTTTTATTACATTAATTTTTTTTTATTGAAATCTTTCAAATCGATCAATTACATACAAATTTACACAATGAATGAACAACATTAAATTTTCTCAAAAGTATAAGACTCCGATAAAATCAGATTTTCTAGGACAAAATGTATGTAATCAAAGGACCTGAGGGTCACCAAAACACAGATGTTGAGAGCAAAATGCACCTCCTGCACAAGTATGGGCCCACGAAAATCTTAAATTTTAAATAGAATTTCAAATAGAAACACACAAAAATATCAAAAGCAATCAAATCATATAATAAAGTGAAATCCATGATGTGATGACATGCACTAAAATGAGAAATGAGAAATACAGACAACAGGGATTTAAGCTCCTTATGAACATATTGTTAGCTTTAGGTAAACTGCTTCACATCTCTGTCTCGAGGGAAAAATCTAGATCATAATCAAAGTCCTCCGGCATAATTTTATCCCACATGTAGGAGGTCAATTTGCTTTTGAACTCAGAAATAGTCTCTATCTCACGTATATCTAGAGGAATATGATTCCATTTGGAATGGGTCCTAAAGTAAAAGTTCTTAGCAAAAGCGTTAGAGCTTGCTCGTGGTAAGATCGAGCTTACAAAACATAAGGGGTCCATGTGGCTATTTCTTAACCTTGAGTGGCCTTGATATGGTTGCAAATATGAGGGTAAAGTGACAGGAATATGTTGCTTCACAATTTTAAAGAAGAAAATAAGGTCAAGAAAGTCGAAGCGGTCTTCTATGGGCATAATCTTAAGCTGTCTGCATTTCTGAATGTATGTGGATGGTGGATAACTCATATACTCCTCGCGAAGAATCCACTTAATAGCACGCTTTTGGAGGCCCTCCAGCTTGCTTATCTGGGATTTTGTGACCGGTCTCCATATAACTGAGCAATGCTCAAATTGACTTCTCATTAAAGTGAGATACAGTACTCTACGACGATTTACATCTTGAACAAAATAGCAATTTCTCCTTGCCATGCCTAATTTTTGGTTGGCCTTTGAGAGGACTTTAGAGCACTGGTCTTGCCAGTCGAGATTCTTGGTCACAAAAACACCCAAATCCTTTTCATGATCGACATAGTCAAGTGCGATTCTTCCCATGGAGTATACAAAGTTAAAGAGTGGTAGGACACTAAGGAGGGAAACTGTTTCGGATATCCTTCCTGCGACGGTGAGGACCTTACATTTGTCGGGATGAAATCTCATTTTATTAGAAAGTGACCAGTCATGGAGATAATCAATGTCCTTCTGCAGTCGCAGGATATCAGACTCCGAAACAATCTCACGCCAAATTTTAGTATCATCGGCATACAGTGACAGTTGTGTGCCAGGTGAAATCCCCACTGATATATCATCAATGAACATAATGAACAACAAAGGTCCCAAAATTGACCCTTGTGGTACACCAGATTGGGCGTTTCTCATGGAAGAAAACTTACCACTTATCAAGACCTGTTGTTGCCTGTCTCTTAGATAATCAGTGATGAATTTCAGTAGCCTCCCATCAATACCAAATTTGCTCTTTAGCTTAAATAATATAAGATCATGGTTAACTGAGTCGAAAGCTTTGGCAAAATCAAAGTAGACTACATCTGTTCTCATATTTTCATTCAGTGAGAGAGCTAGGCTGTCACATAGACCTACAAGATTAGTTGCACATGATCTTTCAGCTCGAAAACCGTGTTGTTTATCGTTGATCATGCCGTTAGTAAGTGCAAGTAACTCATCTTTAATTATGCGTTCAAGAACTTTGGTGATTAAGCATGTAAGGGATATTGGCCTATAATTTGAAACCTCGTGTTTATCACCTTTTTTATATATGGGTACAACGTGTCCCAGTTTCCACTCCCTAGGTAATGTCCCAATGTTGTAACATGAATGAAATAATAGTGATAATGGGTATGCAAGCCCAACAGCACAGTTTTTCAAAAGTTTCCCATGAATACCGTCAGGCCCATAAGCTTTGTTAGGGTTAATATTGGAAAGGATTTTTCGAACCCTTTGGTGGTCAAATGCAATATCAAAGCGCCAATCGTTTGAATAATCAATATCTATGTCGTATAATGATGCTTCAGAGAACTGCTCAAAGAAAAAGCCATTAAATAAGTTGGCCTGGTCCTCTGGGCAGTTGCGGACAATGCCTTTGTAGCTTACAAACTCAGGAATTCTTTGACTAGCTGTTTTTGATTTTACATATGACCAGAATTTTTTTGTTACAAGAGCGCTATCATCTGATTCATTTAATGTTTCTCGCATTTTTTGAGCAACCACATTTTTGAAGTTTTTCCTGGCAAGGGAGAATGCTATTTGGGCTCTATCGCTTTTATGTCTATCTTTATGCAGTCTTATTTTCTTGCGCCATGCATCATAGCACTCTGAGTCAAACCATGGATCTTGTCCATCTGTCTTAACTGAGCATTTCTTGATGAATTTGTCAGTGATATTAAAAAGTTTTTCTTTAAATTTTTTCCACCCAATTTCAGGTTCTGTGCCATTAAGCAATGCATTCCAGTCTGTGTGCCGGAGTTCATGGTTTAGCCTCTCCCAGTTCACGTTTTTATAGTTATAGCACATACGCTTAACCGGCTTCTTCCTATTTACCTTAATGTTGATCTTAAAGTTGATTGGAAAATGATCAGACTTACAGACGCTATCTCGCTCACCTACCATTAGGTCACTGATATTAGACTCAGAGTTTGTGAGCAAAAGGTCCAGTGTTTTGCCTTTGCAATGTGTGGGTGTAAGTACACATTGCCGAAGGCCAAGGTCTACAAAAGATTCAACAAAAATCTGCTCAATAGGACAGGAGCCGGCCAAGGTAGACCAGGAGACTCCAGTCAGGTTGAAATCTCCCAGGATAAATACTTTGCTTAGCCCTCTTCTCCGAAGAAGAGTTTTCAGAGATCCAAGAATTTTTTCATGATTTGCAAAGCCCAGTGTACCAACACGATAACATGTACAGATAACAAATTTAATGCCCGTTGATGTTGTAAACTCCACAGCAAGAATCTCTGCCCCCTCTTTAAGTCGGATTTCTTTCGAAGATAATTGAAGGTCTGCTCTCACAGCAATCATGACCCCGCCACCATTTCTCCTAAACCTGGTCGGATTAGAGGGATCAGGTGGATGAGTTTTCTTAGATCTGTCAGAGCGAAATATCTTATATTTATCAGGGTGCAGGAATTCGCTATCAGCTATGGAGTTTTTAAACCAAGTTTCGTTAAGTATTGCAATATCTATATTTGCCTCATTAAAATAAGTTGAAAGCTCAAGACATTTGGTGTTATCAAGCATTGGGTGGGCATTATTAAGCTCACCGAAGGGAATAAGGCCTTGAACATTCTGAAAGTAAACATTCAATACCTTACTATTCCCCAACATAATATCTATAGGAGGGGGACCTGGGTTTACGATTCCAGGATTTACAAAAACTATCAAAATACCATTCAACAAGAACAACCAAATTATGCATCCAGTTAGTGCAATGCCAGCTCTACCAGTAGATAAAAAGTTTAAATTCCTATAAATTGTAACATGGCAGAAATTGTAAAGGCCATCGAAACTATAATCATTCCGGAAATAATACATATTTGCTAAGTGTAGAAGGAAATATACAGTAAAATATCGGCACAGGTTAGGCACTGGATATGTTGGTACAAAGGCTCGGCAATCATATGTGACTCTAGAAAAAGCCAACCCACTAACCCCCGCACTAGTGATGATGATGAGTGAGAAATGGCATATGAATAAAACATAGAATATATATAAAAAGAAGCTAGGATCAATGCAGCTGTTTAAAATGTCAAAGATACTACCTGTACCACGTCTACGGTTCTGATGTTTAATGGCTCTTGCGAAAGAATTTCCACTAAACATTCCAACTCTAAATCTATATGTTACTAAATCGATCATGGTAATTTACAGGTAAGTATACTTGCCAGACTACATCTGCATATAACTAGCTATACAAGGTCCATAATACAGCTCAGGTTAAACTATTGATATACAAAGGGATTAAAATATCTACTGTGTATGGCACGAATATAAGACCTAGCCAACACCCCCATTCCTTTCTGAGGATTGGGGTGAATACCATTGCTCTCAAATAACGGGTCAAATCTCCTAACGGGTTCCTTATAAGTTCTCTTGAATTTAGTGAAGGGATAAAAGACATCCATAAAGAAGAACCTCCTGAATACACATTCATTATATAAAATCCTATTAAAGTCTATTATCCTCTTGTTTGTTAATCTATCATCATCAGACGTTAAGGGTAATGGCAATAAAGATTGAACATAAACCTTGCAATTAGGAAATAATTGGCATATCTTACTAAAGAGTTGCTTCAGAGGCCCTCTAACTATGCCTACATCCTCTACCCGTCTAATATCGTTCGTACCAACACTAATTAAAAGTTTATCAACCTGAACATCAGGATGTGCAGCAGAATAGTCCTCAAGCTGCTTCTGGACCTTGTCCATCTTTGCTCCACCTTGTGCAACATTCTCGACTTTGACTTTCCCTTTTCCCAGCTTGTCCGAGTCCAATCTCTGAGCAAAAGAGTCTCCAGCAACCAACGTGACTTTCTGCACAGGTTCTTTGACTTTAATGCCACAAGCAGGTGTACTAGTCTCACTGGCACTGTTGGTTTCAGAGCTGGCCTGGCTACCAGTTTTCACGATTGCGCGAAAAGACAGGGAGTATCGCACTTGGTCTTGACCATCCCCCTCCGTACCAGTAGCCAGCTCTGCACGCACCTGATGCTTCAGATTCTGCTGTGTCCCAGGCCTCATTACGACAAGGCTGTTGTTCTTCATCCTTATCGCTTTGGCACATTTAGGATTCTTCTTTGTACCCTCGTAAAACTCAAGTGTCCGTTCACACCCCAGGGAGAAAGAGCATATCGATTTCTCCTGATCGATGAGTGTCTCGTCGTCACGGTGTAACGAGGTGCTGGCCTGGTTGTTATTATACTTAATCACCAGACAGGAGTCCAAAGGTCCAGTTATCTCTGTGCTTGAGTTAACGAGACTCAGCAGCCTTTTGATGTTAGGGAAACTACTGATATCCTGTGGTGAGTGTACTGGGTTTGTGTCCGGGTACGTATAGGCCTGATCCTGCGAGCATAACCAAGCGGTTTGAGCCTTGTTTCTCCCCCCAGGGTTCATCTTCAAGGACCCACACTCCACCCATACTGCATCAAGGAGGACATCATCACCACAGAAGTCCTCTAGGTGCAAAACAAAGTTGTCCACCTTTCCCTCACGCTTAGGGAGCTCGTTCTGGACACAGTTGAGGATATTTTGCAGATCCTCAATTGAAGCAGCTTTAACATAGTCGAAAATCTCTTCAAGGTTTATCATTATTATCAGAGATTGTCGAGTCTGGCAGCAAAGTTCGCCGGGGAACCATCCATAACACCCCAGAGTAGGCAACCACACACAACACTGAACACTACCTGAAGGAGAAAGGGCAAGAGAAAATGGGTAATGGTACAAGTGGTTCTAGGTAAATTTTGCCAAGCGTAAGTAAATTTTGCCAGTGAAACTTTAGCTAGAATAATGATAAGAGGGGCAATATCAGAGTTGTAAATGTGTGACTAACATCAAATGTTATCATTGAAAGCAAAATTATGGATAAAATCAAAGTAGAAGATCAACTTACAGCGTGTTTGAGGGTGTTGCTGCCCAGTGCAAGCACTGGGCGAGAGGAGCCTAACTCAAGGGTGAACTTCAGGAACCCCAGCGTACCCGCATACCAGGAGATCGGCTGTACTTCCTAGCCCGTCATGCCATCGTACATGCCTAAAATTATTTGTTATATAGTAGTGTTGAAAGTATTAAATAAATAAATATAAACCACTTTAGTGAAATCCGCAAAGTTGTATTTCGTTCGCGCGCCGAGATATCCAGCCAAAACAATTTGAACCTGTGACGTCAATTATGTGAGTTGCTCTGATCCGCGCATATAGAAATACAGGTAAAATGAGCGTGCGGGCCGACTAAATTACTAAGAATAAATTAACAATTTACGATACTAACGAGCCTATAACCAATGGAGAGGAGACTTTTTATGACCGGTTGAAAAAAGAATTATCACCCTACGATAACCATGAGCCGAGATACACCTGGAATAAGATTGAAGTCACACAGAAAGGCATGTAAATTATGTATATTTATAGCTCCCAACGTAACACCTAGCAACTCCCTGTTTCGTACCACAGTTGATATATCAACATGTCATATCAACACAACACGGTCCTAATGAAAATGGATCGGGTAGGTATGAAATGCATGTCTTCATTCCAGTTGGACAAGCACCAAGCTTTTAAGTTCTAACTCACTATGTGACACTACTTATAAGGTAAGCAAGATTTGCAACTATTACACCAAGAAATATTATACCAAGCATAGCAGACGAACACATCCACATTCGCTACGCTTTACACTCAAGTCACAGCAAACTAAAACGGTAAATTATAAATGAGTGTACAACTAAAGGCCGGTACACGCGCAGTGTCAAACCGCACGTGCGTACTCAGATAGGACTAGAGGCGCCAAGGGCCAGCTAGTAAAATGTTTTCTACTACATCATACATTCTTTTTAATTGTGTCCATATCGGGTTTCAAACAAGTCAAAACAAAATAGCAGTTTGTGGTTTAGTTAGCGGATGCTACTTATCTTAGCTATTTATAAATAGAAATACCTACTACAACTACAAGAAAGCCTTTCTGAGTTACATTTAACTATTATTATTAAAGAGAATTATTCGTAACTTAGACTAATTCAGTGCAACCAAAGATACCGCTCTCGCAAACGCCAAAGGTAACACGACGTAATTAAAACAGAACAGAACAACATGTTGACACGAGCAAAGGGTGCGCGCGCACGTTGGTCTTAACACATAAGTGACGTCACAGCCCAAAATTGCTATCAGCCAATAGGAGCGCGGCGTGATATTGCACGAATTATCGATTTCACAGTCCGGCGTATTTTTTGATTCTACACATTTTCACAGGACTTAAACGCGAATATTTGCAAGTAAATTCTAAGGTCCCCTCATCCTTTAAAGTTAAAAGTTAATGGATGAAATTAATGTTTTTAAACCAGGAGTAAAATGTTAAAATTGTTATCATCGTTCATCCAGCGTATCTTTCCCTGGCTAGTAGTGGCATGCGTACCTGACTATTCAATACTAGCCAGGCAAACCATGAGCTTGACGTTGGTAGGGCTAGCTTTAGAAGGAGTTATTGTGTTTCATTGTCAATAGATCATCCGAGCTATTGTCCTATTTTTCAAAGATTTCAGCCAAATCAGACATTGTCATTGAAGGTGGGTGAGCTCCCACTCTACAACAGACGTTACATGGACGCGCCCTGAATCAACTCTTATCCGATTTGTTGATTAGCTATATTTGGGTGTACATTAGCTGAACTAGTTCTACTAAATAAAAAATAATGAAACTGATTGAATTATTCCTTAAATTATAAGTAAAACAATCACATATGAAAGAAAGATCCGGAAAAAAACGAAGGATAATATTAGGAAAGAGTCCAATTCAAAATAACGCTGCTTCTCTATATAAAAACTGCATGTCTGTATTAATAATTGTTTATTCGTATTCATAATGTCCAAACTGCATATTCTTTTCGCGGTTTTAATTGTTCACCGAGGATGCCTGAAGCGATTCTTGATAAAATTTCGAAAAGGCTGGAGCCTCCAGAAAAAAATGGCCGGATTCAAACAGCTGTTGAGAGCTGGTAGAAGGATGAAGGACGCAGATGCAAACATATCTTCGTAATAGATCAATTCTTTTTCCGATTCCAACCAATCGTCTGCGAAGTTTACACTTTTTTCGGCAGCTCTCAATATATCTGTATCCCAGTTCCAGATTTCAATGCTTTCAGGGACTGTTATATCTTGAACCGTTGAAATAACTTTGATGAAGTGGGTAAAGAAGTTGCTAGAAACGGACCTCTCATTGGTATAGTGATAGAATACGAATACCGAAAAAATTAGGGCCGGTATATTAAAAATCACATATACCAGTGTAACAATCAGTACCGTGCTCGAAGCCTGGCCATGCTTCATCACAGTCGCATTGGTCTTCTTAGCCTTGGCGTTTGCTCTCTTCAGAAAAATCCAGCAGAGGATGAAGCTGATAAATATAGGCAAGACTGGCAGACTGAACAAACTTGTTCTCAGCAGAAAAATGGTCCTGTGATTATTGTAAGTTACTTGGGCTTGTCGAAGACCCTCGTTTGCTTCTTTCAGTGATACCTCCAGTCCTTTTTTTGGGTGTTTCAAAGTATCTAAGATTATCTTTGAATGTGAAGCTTCTTGGATTAGGGCAGCAGACTTATGATCACCAGACACTGTATCAGCCGGAGAAGGGGTTCCAAGAGAGTTAAGAGATGATTCGGATGTTTTGTTTTGTTCTTCGGAAGTTGAATTGTCACCATCGTATATGGGGAACATGACCGGGGCTTCAGTCAGGAGATCAGCTCCTCGTTTATCTCTGATTTTATTGAGAAGCTGTGACAAGCTGGACGAGTGCACCTTTCCCTTTGTTTGGCAGGTTCCGTAGCGAGGTCTGTATTTAACTGCAGCGGTGGAGCTTGCAAGAGGTGCTATGAAGAGAGTGACGGCCACTAATATTGCCACTGTTCCAGGAATAATCCATGCGCTGTTAGGTTTAGCTTCAAGGTGAGGGTATTTGAGGAAAACAAGCCTTGAGACACTCAACATGGCCACCATGAAGATAACCATTTCTTGGCACACCACCCAGATTGCATACCAACTATAGCAGAAACCTTTTTCGTGGAAAAGCAGAGATTCGTTGTGTCCTTGAAACAAGAGACCTTCAATAATCGGGAAAAGAAGGATGCAGATTGCCAAGTCTAACGAAGATATCAGAGTGTAGATCCTCTTGAAGTAGGTGCCGTTCTCATGAGAGCTTTTTTGGGTTGAGAAGTAGTAACAGCAGATCAAGTTGGCTGGTATTCCGATCACCATTACTATGATGAAAATGGTCCCAAAGGCGGTATCCAGTTTTGGGTTGCTACTGGACTCTTCTTTTAGCAAATTTCCGAGTACCTTTAGGAAAGTTTCCCATGCCTTGTCAATCGCTAAACCAAATGTGTCCACTGCTGTGTCGACCACCGTATCCACTACATTATCAACTGCTTCTTTCAAGCCTGTGTCTTTAAGTGTATCTGATGCTATGTCTACAACCTCATCAAATGTTTCTTTTAAGCCTGTGTCCTCCAGTGTGTCTGATACCATGTCGACTGTCTTTTCGGCCGCTTCTCCGACTTCCTTACCAATCTTTTTCCAATCAAACATCATCTTTTATTTTGCAGAATTGTATAGTAACAGTGCAAGAAACGCCACAAGTTTTCAAAGCATCGAGTGCCAGAATTATCTTGAAAACAAAACAGGAGAAATTATCACTGTTTTTATCTGAGACCAACAAGTATTCCCTGGATAGGTTGCAATACAATGGACTGCTTCTTCTATGGAATTTGTCTTTGGAATTTGATGTCACTTGAACAAAGAAGTTGAAAAGCTCCATTGTATGATTTTCAGTGCTTTAGTCTATTCCCAATGCTTATGTTGGGGACAAAAATGGAATAAACTGACTAGGCATTTTTCTCCTTATCAACGTCGTAAATAATTTAATTGTAAGACAAGCATAGACGCTCAATCGTTTGGCCGTTAATAACAGAATAATCCTTGTGCTTTATCAAGTCGGCAAAGCTGAAAAGATCTGACACAAAGTAACACATCTTAACGAAATGTTAACTTAATATCAACCCTCATCAAATCATGCATCAACCGACTTTAAAGAAACGCGGCACGCATTCGCGTACTGAAGAAAAAGGGTTACACGAAACGTCTATAAAAAAGTTAGACATTCGCTATAAGTACAGGGTGGGCCAAAAGTCAGTACCCATACGTTGGCCTTAATAGCTCCGCCGTGTTTTATATTTGAGAGCTGTTGCTTTGCAGATGGCATACTGTACTTACTGGTTCGAGGATTCCGTCGTCAAAATTTGAAAATTCGAATATTTTAGACCACGCCCATTCAATATTAAAACACCTATATTGTTTTCTCTGAACATGCTGAACGCCTAATTTTTTTCAGAGACGGTAGATTATCAAATGTTGCATTTATGATCTGAAAACATGAGGCAAAACAGATTAGAAATGACGAAGTTATCAAGCATTTTCTGTATCTCGTTAACAATATTGACTGGGTGATTATGTGACACCGTGACACGACACCTTAATTGGGCACCCTTAACAATTCCCATAATGTTTAACGGGGTTGTTAAAGGGGGCACCTTATCACGTGATTAGGTAAACCACCTGATCACACGTTATGAATAAACTCGTTATGCTTCATATCTCGGTCATCTGAGAAGCTACAGTTCTAATTCTTTCAGGATAAACGTAATTTAAATGGCCAAACACAATTCAATAATATTGAGCTTGATCCGACTATCCAAACTATCAAATAAATGTGAAAATGAACCTCCATTTGAAAAAAATTAACGCGAATATTTTTCGAGTTGACAAATTCCTCGAACCAGTGGTGGTACTAAGTCATACCAGAAAGAAGTATTTAAATTGGGCACTCAGTGACTGAGCTATAAAGGCCAACGTATGGGTACTGACTTTTGGCCCACCCTGTATATATGTTATCTGCTAGAGCCTCTAAGTGGTAGTAGGGAAATAAGTGGTACATTCATGGTAGTAAACCAAAGTTTAGAAACAATAATTTAATCGTTTCAATGCGTTTTATTTTAAAATTGTATTCTTTGATACGTAGAATTGCTAAATAATTCTTCCCCTTCAGATGAAGAAAACAGCTGACAGTACGATTGAAACAGCTGAAGGTTTGCTTGCAGAGGGAGAGGAAGCAGACACTGGTATGACACAACTGAAGACTAAAGCTGACGAAGCACTGTTACAGAGTCAGCAGGCTGTTCAGGAATGTGCAGAACTCATTAATGGTGGGTACATTTGTAAACTTTGCTCAAACATGTGGATTGTTAATGATGGTGAAATGGGTTTAATTAAAGTTGATATTATAGTTCGGGAACGGACTGGTGAGGCTTGAGTCGTGGCATATTAAAATAATCAAACAAAGCAACCACCGAATCACAAGAGAATCTTAAAGAAGCAGCATCCAAGTTTACCAAAAGCAACAATAGCGCTCAGCAAGGACATCCCTTCATCCTTGCCCGGCAGGGGAACCTCCCACCTCCCACATGTTAAATCTTGTAGCACGTGCACTAAACTCTGCTGGTCATATTGTCGCTTCTCCCGATCTAGCACGTGCACTAAACTCAGCTGGTCATATTGTCGTTTCTCCCCATCAGTTGACCGGACCGGGTTATGTATTTCATTGATTTTTCCGGGGGCCTTTCTTCGTCGGATCAATTTCTTGTTTTTCATTGTGCCAGGATTAATCTGGATAGCTTGGACCGGGGGAGGCGTATACCAGGATTTAAAAAAGTTAAATCGATTTGTTGAATCGTTTATAGTGGTATCTGCGGCCTTCTCATCGGGTGTGAATTGAAGAATAAGGTTTTCCAAAGTAGTCTCATTGATACTTCTTTTCTTCACCATACTATCATCTAAAGGATATATGCATCCTGAACAAAATGGTTCGAATAACAGATAAAACTGTTCTATTCCCTCATCACTCGATGCAAACTTCACAAAATTGCAATATTGAATTTGAAGTCCTGCCATTTCACTGCCCCCCTCGCATAGTACCTCACTCGATATCGACATTAGCCCTTTCAAGAACACTTTCAGCTGAGGACAACAAAACATTACTTTAGTGGTGAAATCTAAAGCTTCACTGGTACATCTGGTAAAATCACCTCTCTCACCCTGACTCATTGTGGCCCAAACACTCACCATCAAATCATAATACTCCACCAAGCTAATGGGTCTGTCACAGAACAGGTCTGTTGGAGCTTTGACACATATTTTGAGGCGTGGTGAGATTTTGTCATCTGAGGTCCAGCTAGTGTCTCCGGTACACAGGTACGTCTTGATAAGGGTCTCAATCTCCTTCCACTGAACTTCTGTGTTACTGATGGTAGGGATGATGGGCATTGTCAAGAGAAAAAGGGAGGTCGAGAGGTTCATGATAAGTGTCAGTCATTTAACGTTTCTGAAAATAGCGATTCAAACGTTTATAGCGTATTGTTATAGTTCATAATCAATAATCATTGTTCATAAACATCAATAGGCGCATTTAGGATAAGAAAACAGATCGAATTGTTCAAAATTGACAAATTGAATTGTTACGAAACGTTCAACAAGTTGACCTATAATATGTCTGCACAGAAACTGCCAATTTGGAGCCTCGCACCTGGCTCAGGAACCACACAACTCTTCTTACTGTAACAAATAATAAGGACTTTTGAACGCTCCATATTACACCACCTGAACAGATGGCATCCCCTAACCGGTATAAGGGGCCCTATTTAAGCTCCTGTATAGTGGTGTATATCAACCAGAGAGGGACTGGGGGAGCACATGCACAGGAACATGGTGATATTTAACCTATTGTACCGTGTAAATTATATCTTTACAGAACCCCCTCAAGCTTTCGGTACTGTTGTCCAAAAGATCATTTATACGAGAAATTTTAAAAATTGGATTCTTAAAAATGTCGTCGATCAAAAGCGTATTAATACGTTTTGATCACCCTTTAATTTGATCACCCTTCAGACGCTCAGAAGCTATTGGAAGTACTTCAGAACTTTGAAAGGGAGGTGGAGTTGGCTAAGGGTAAAGCTGAGAGCGCGGTTGCCGAGCTTGATGATTTGGAAGATGCTCTGGATGCTGCAGAGAGTAAGGTTAGTATTCAAAATTGGGTAAATTTATATTTTATACTCCATGTCAAGTTTATGATTTCATTTCATATTATGAACAAATCGTTTTAACTTTATTTGTACTTAAGAAGGACAGTTCAACTAACGTTGTGTGCTTATTATTCTTTAAATTACTGTTAATGTGATCTACCACTCGGATCAGTTCTGCCACACCTATGTTGAAATGAGTATGGAAAATTAAATTTTTCTTAATTTTCAGGTGCAAGCTGCTGGTAAGAAATTAGGAGACGGTAAGAGAGATATGGAGGGGGTTCTGGATTCCATAAAGTCTGCTAAAGGCAATCTGGAGTCATCTCTGGAAAATGCTAGAGAGGTAATTTGTTTTAACGTTTCCTGTATTACCAGTTCACCCTCATTTTGGTAACATCATCTTACTCTTGAAGTACCCAGCAGTGTACACGGACTTACTTTGTAACAAATAACACAATGTTCACACCACGTTTCCTCTCCACAGGTCACCGGTAAAATAAGTGAGTTGCTCGGTGGCTCCCAAACAGCGGCTGACGACGCGGAGACTCTCAATGAGGACGTGGCGGCTGCTCTAGAGGAGGTCAGACGGCTCAGGAACGAGGCTGCTAACGGCACTTCCCTACTCAAGGAGGTCCTGAAGAAGGCTGCTGATAGCAAGGCTAACGCCAACAGTTTTGGTAAGTTCATGAGCATAGCTTCATCTAAGATATGGAATTAGACATGAAGCAGTATTAACAGAATACTTAACTCTAACCCTACATCTATGATGTAGAGATAAGAAATCTATTTATAGAACTAATCTATTTATTAGCTCTAACTGCTAAAACCTGCAGCGAGCACTGTAGATGCAGGGGACAGGAAGCTGAAGAACCTACAGAGACAGTTGGATGATATTGACAGTTTGGATGCTGCCAGACTCCAGGAGCTCATTGACGAGCTCACTCAGGCGGACCAGAAGATGGACGAGGCTGGTGAGTAGAGTACTGAGTGTTGTTATACTGTATCACGAATAAATAGAATGTTCTAGAGGTGTCCAAAAATGTAAATTGATTGTTTTTTGTTGTTGGTAAAACAGCAAACACCCGCAATGATATTGAAATTAACTTATAGAATAATTTAGTTTAATATTTTCAAATATAAATCTTGGTTGATCTGATAAATTTCTTCAGGCATTGACGATAAAATAGCTGAGATGAAGCAGATATCTTCGGATCAAGATGATAAGATAGCTTACTACAGATCACAAATACTGGTAAAGTTTATGAATTATTTTCATAGTTGTCCACACTCCACAGAAGCCTTTTCAGTTAAACTTTTGATTGCCACTGTAGTTTGAAAGAAAAAACTCTAAATTAAAAAATCATGTCGTACTTAATTTTTCAATTCGAAATCATTTTTAGATGATGCGGGAGGAGATCTTAACATTGGAGAAAATAGAAGCAGAGCTTCCCGATGACACAGAATGTTACAATCCCAATAATGTGTAAAATTTACCCATGGAATGCTATATGATGTCACGTGGTATGCATTTTGATGGCATTATGTGACATTTTGATGACATGAGTAATTTAGGAGATCATATTTGTGACACTCAAACAACACGAAAGTGTGAGGACTTGTTCTATGATTAATGGAATGCCCTGTTAACGATAGTGAATATTATGTGTCCTCAAGCTGAGCTTGAGGCTTGGAGTCAGACGCGAGAGATATTTTATAATCCTTACATTTTTACCATAATTTTAATTTAACTTGTACATAGGATTCATTCATAACACAAACGCAACTTTAACCGTACTAGATATATTATGCTTTATAGCTTTATAGGACAATTTTAGACGATGTTTAATATTACTGTACAAATATTACCTTTGTAGACATTTTACATTTAAAATTTTCTAACCCACACCCAGAGTATATTAAAATGTTTTTACAAAGATTTAGTTTTATATCGATTTATCATTTTCATTTTATAGAAACAATTGCTTAACTCCATGTTTTTATACTATAATATTTCAAAGTTAAACTGTTTGATATATGGACTTGTATATTTGACTTATTACTGATTGCCATGATATTAGACAAAATAAAATTTTCAGACTATACTATCCCGTGACTTAAACAATAAGTAATTTAATTAAGATTCAGACAGGGTAAACTATCTTCATAAATGGTTTTATGGCGCTCTGATAAAGATTAACCGCGACTTTAAAATGAATTTCAGAGTGTTATTCTAGCATAGGTGGATAACCGGAAATAGAATATTCTAAAATAAAGTTCTTGAATGATAAGATTTTTATAATTCTTATTAATTAAAAGTACGTGTTTTTTTTTTCATTGTTAACATCAGTCGTAAAAATGTCATATTGAAAATACATATTTTATCCAGAATTGATACCACTAATTTATAATTCCGAATATCATTCGGACTCGGACTCCCAATGAAAAAACAACAACATTTGAAGCTGCCTAGTGAGAAGTGGCAGTGCCTTTTACAGTCCCATGAATACTGGAAGTGGAAGCCATTGTAGTAGGAAAAATAAGTATTTGATGTCTACTTCTTAACATGTGATTTTATGGAATCTCGAGCCTTCCAGTTCTAAATCTAGTACAAAAAAATCCGTCTGAAAAAACAAGAAGCTTTCTAAGGATTTTTGACGTTTTTGAGTCTCATTAGGTGCCCTTTACGGCTGACCAACTTTTCCAAACTTTTCCACGTGTCTTAATGCCAATTTTTGCCACTTTACCACTTTTTACCACCTTTCTTGTTTGTCAAATATCTTTAGTTGTGAACATCGTAGAAAGTTGCAGATTAATCAAGGATGTTCATATTATCAGGAAGAAAAACTTTTGTAGAGACAATTTTTACCTCAGATAATCAATTAATTAGATAATTATCAATTAGCAAAAATTTAGTTTTTAAAATTTGTGTTATTGGCTCAAAATGATTAGAATAGCTTAAACACGGAGTAAAGAAGTTTTTAGAAAAACTTCGAAAATTTTTCACTTCCATTTTTTTCGAAATTTTTTTCGCCAAAAGTTATCAAATTTCATGAAACGTGGAGAAAAATGCTTTTTTTTATAAAACTTCGTGAATTTTTGCTTTCAAGAATACTAAAATCACCAATATTTGTAGTTGGAGTTCAGTAAATCTCGGCAGATTTTAGTAATCAGGAATTATTAAATTGAAATAAATAAAAGGACTGAAAGTGAAACTGAAAAACGTGAACCACAGGATATTAGAGTTTCATAATTAATTACACTTACAGTACATCCTTATCGATTTTCACAGAAACTGCACCAAAGGCACATTTAAAATCGAACCGATAGCCTGCTGTACTACTACTAGTACTACGATAATCGCATAATATGTAATAAATAAAACCTCTCTGAGTCTGTACCGTCAATCGTGCAAAATACATACTCATAGACCTGAACTCAAGTTATTAAAGTCAAAAAGCCTCTTTGATCATGATTATATTCTTAAACGAGCGTGCTAAATCACTCTACAGTCGATCTTCGAGATTGTTCTAAAAGGGCCCCCGACAGTTGAAACCAACTTCAATGGATGTATTTTCGGACGCTGATTCCGAATCACCCCCATGACATAGTTGTAAAATGCTCCCCTGACGAGATATTGGCGAAAAACTGTCTTGATCACGTGATATGACCGTATAAGGAAGTTAGTCTAATTTCTCGTTAGGGTTAGGGTTTCAGCATATGCTTTTGTTAATGTTATGGATTGGGTTAGGGTTAGGGTTGGGATCAGACTAGAGGGATAGGATTTCGAATAGTCTTTCAGGGCCAGCTAGAGAACGGGTTGAAAAAGTCACGTGACAGTCGAGTGTAGAGTGATTAATCATCAGTTTTGTAGCGCGATGCACTACTGGGTCGCGCACGCATCAAATATGCTTCTCGCAACCATCAAATATGCTTCTCGCAACCACTACACATATAATATGCAACCACGTATGCAGATCGGCGAGATGCGAAGGATTGACATCGTCAATCAATCATCAGTTCTGAATATTTATACAATACTTATACAGGCAAAACTTGTATCACGTGGCGACCCCCACGGTCGCTTCACTATATCGTCTTCGACGATACAGGGGGAGCCGCGCACTTCGTGCGCGGCGGGTCATACAACGTATGACAAGGCAAAACGATACAAGCGAGGCAATGAGAGTATATCATGTGTTGTGTAGGAATAAATATTTTTAGGAAAAAATTATGATTGGACATAATTAGCATCCCAGAATGTGGGAGGCTCACGTGACACGTTGTGAGTAGCCTTTGTTAATATGAACAGTATAGAACAAAACACAGGAGCAAAACGCAAAACAGTCCTTTCCTATACTACTACTAAGTCCTAACACTAACACTAACAGTGTTTCAGTACTCCAAATACACTTGACGGATGTTGCTCGTCTAAATTTCTTCGAAGTAGCGCGCGATGGCTTACTGGGCCGCGCTCAGCCTGTCATTCCGCCTAATCTCTATTCGTTATATGTTAATGAACATAATAGCCTGGGGTCCCCAGGTAAGCGCGATGGCAAGTGCTACGAAGTAGCGCGCGCCGGGCCAGATCATTAACAATGGTCAACAGGCTCTTTCTAAATCGCTCGCCCAAACCGTAATAACAATTTCAACTTTTGCGCGTCTCCTAAATGCGCGTTAGTTATCTGTGATAATTTTAGCACCGGCGAACCACATGGTCTGGACTAACAAAGTTCACTCAAAACGTTCCGCGCCCGCGGATAAGTCAATATTTGTGGTTTTCAGAGACCAGATATTGCCATTTTGGATCATAAAAAAGGCTTGATAAGTCTATAGATATCAGAACTCTATTTATCAGTAATGATCAAATTTATATCTAGTAGATGAATTTTGTGAGACAATCAGAAACGAAAGAAGACAGCGTTTTCTAAGCCAAGTATGACACAAGAATAGGCCATTCTACAAAACAAATAAAATGTTTTACAGAAAATGGGACCATTAAATCTTCTTGGTACCTATTTTACCATTTGCTATCAGTTCAGAACAACAATCGAACTTCTTGTCATAATTATGCATGAATCTATTTATACACTTACGTTCGACCTATAGAATTTCTTTGACAAATCGGAAATTTTTACAAGCATTATCATTTAATAGTTAACACCCTTAAATAGGGCGTGGCACTTTTTTCATCATGCAATTTAGTTTGGGTTTGTTAACGTATCTTTATTATTAGTTTAAGAGAAGTGAAGATATATTCATTTATCAAGGACAAATTGACATTAACAAATGTAACAAGATGTTAGCAAGTACACCTTGTCATACGAAGTGCGCGGCTCCCCCTGTATCGACTATCGTCGAAGTGAAGCGACTGTGGGGGTCACCACGTGATACAAAGTACACCCAATAAATAATTTTGAAAATTGGTTTACAACCATCACGGGTCAAAATAAAATATATATTATTCACCAAATCTTAGTTAATATTGCGGTACTAAACAACAAACAAAAAACCTTGTGCTCAATTCTGACTGTGCCGATCCAAGACATTGCCGCAGATGCAGGATGAGTCATTTTCTAATCGTCAAGTTATTATTTTAGATACTATATTCCACAAGTAATCCACAAACACAAACGTCTGCACAGTTATGCCTTGATTCACGATGTCAATCCTTCGCAGCTCGGTGAGGCACAGTGGTGCATCTCGCCGATCTACCGAAGATTGGTTGCGAGAAGAATTATTTGATGCGCGGCGCGACCCAGTAGTGCATCGCGCTACAAAGTTATGCCGGACTATGACCTGCTTTGTCATACGTTGTATGACCCGCCGCGCACGGAGTGCGCGGCTCCCCCTGTATCGTCAGGACGATAGTGAAACGACCGTGGGGGTCGCAACGTGATACAATGTATCGTCACCTGTATCGTGAAACGACCGTGGGTGTCACAACGTGATACAAGACCTGCTTAACAATGACAGATTTTGTCTATAATAAAGTAATAGATGAATGATCGCAACCGGACTGTTAATATTTTTGATTTTCGATTTTACTGAAAAGCATTATTTTCCTTCATAAAATAGTCAATTTCAAAATAAAATTTACCAGCTGCGCACTGCAGATAAACTATATAATCATTTAATGGTCTCGACGATTATCAGCCTAAGAAATAGATTATCCTACTCGGACAGTTTAAATCAGTTTTTGGCGCATCGTTGTACTATTTAAATCTTTAGTCAAAGCAAAAAGTTCGAGCACTACCGTATCGAAGGTAGAACGATATAATTTAAAGGTTCTGTTTCGTTGCGAAATAAATTGATAAATACTACCCACAAAGAACTTCGAGGTCAAATGTATGGTGGTCTTTCAGAAGCCATATGGTGGCTTCTAGTTCTAGACGGCTTCTTCACAGCAGTATGGTGGCCATACCTATAATCACTCATTATTATCTGATTTCCTATTTGACTTATGGTTACTAGTACAGACAAATCCGTCATTAAAATGATAACAATAAATCACATTTCTTGCACAACTCGGTCTAACTCTAATTATTGAGGAAAAGAAGAGGTAGATGGTAATCCAGGTAGGCCGGTTCAGATTAGCACGATTGACGGTACAGACTCAGAGAGGTTTTATTCATTACATATTATGCGATTATCGTAGTACAGCAGGCTAAATAACGGGTTTAAAGTCAAAGTCTAAATTTTCCTTACCCATACTTGAAATTACATTAACTTTGAATGCTTTATGTAATGGACCTGCAATTCGGTTCAAATAAAACTGATCAGTTGGACTAATCGTATTCTTTGACTTTACTAGCAAGATTAAAATTTTACAGACTGTCCATTTTTCCATTAATTTCCCTTGTCATACGTTGTATGACCCGCCGCGCACGAGTGCGCGGCTCCCCCTGCATCGTAGAAACACCATAGTGAAACGACCGTGGGGGTCACGACGTGATACAAAATTTCCCACGGTAACGGCCATTTATTAATTAATTACAACTAAATTAAAGAGAACAATTCTGATCGTATCAAAGGTAAACATAAATATCAATATACATAGTAAATGTGGCAAAATGTCACTTACGACAACTTTGAAATATCCCCTCTGTTTTTGTTGCTTGTCTAACAATAACAAAAAGCATGTAAACATAATAATGATCTGAAAGAACCTTTAACCTTTGCAAATCAAATAAACTTAAATCGATCACTACAACTTAGTAATTAGGATAACTCGATGTACCATTTCTAATATTTCTGAAAGGTGCATTCATTCTGGATTTAACGTTATTACTTGAAATCTCTCCTATCGCTATATTATACGGACAATTTAACCTAAATTTCAGAAAAAACAATTTGGTTTTCTGAACAATGAAGTCTGTTCAACTCCAAGAAATGGCCATGAAACACGTAAAAATAATAAATAAAACGTCTGAAAGCTCTGTACAATATATAAACAGTTAACTTAATATGAAATGAAGCTGTTACTAAAGTGGAGGCAAGATCCGTTTCTTTCCATGTGTGTGAGCAGTGATTCTTTGTGCTCTTCCACGTTGCTATTATTGGATTGCATTAGAAGGAGCAACCAAGTGATCAGTCTAGAATAGTCATGAGAAAAACTAACAATTTTGAACCATTCGCATTAGGCCATATCTATTTGCCTCATGATTTGCTCTCTATAGCTGAGAAAACAGCCATGGTTTCCCTTAATAAATTCTCGAATATGGAATCAGCGATTCGGAATTTAACGACCAGCTCGTCCGAGTCGTAATCCGTCCACTCCGCTTCCTCGTCTCGAATTTCCTGGTTCAGAATTAGATTAGAAAGGGCAAGAATAATACTACTAACAGAAGCGTGTACCTTATCATTATATCTAGAATATGTATGCTAGAATTAAGGAGTTAACTTTCTAGTGTCACGTGACAGCAAGTCAGCAACCAAATTTATCCAGCCTATATAAGACAACTCAAATAAGGGACTGTCGAAGTGTCGTGAGAATGACAATTACTTTTCTCTCACGGCATTCAAGTAACAATCGTTTCTCGGACTCCTCCCATCGCTCAACTTCATTTCAGAATACTACAAAATATCACTATTCGAGAAATGTCACTTTAAACTATTTACCTGGGTAACTATTTGAGAAATTTGACTTAAAACTATTTACCTGAGCTAGAATGCTCTCCATGTTGTGGTATTTCCTGGGTTTGCAGTCCTCTGAAAGTCCCAGTATTCGAACCACCTGCAAGAGGGGGTAGATCAACAGTGGAATAACACCTTGTTGAGATCGCAATCAAAGCTACGAGCTGCAAAGGATTGGCGCCCAATCGAAATTTGCTGGGAAAAAATGAGCAATGCAATGAAAAGGTGTGTTATCAGTTTTGTTGCGTGTTTTCTAAAGGTCACGTGATCTTTTGTATGACGTCACTCACCAGATCAGGTAGGTAGTCCTCAATGTTATGTAAGGTAACTCTGCTGGGCAGCCCCTTCATCCAATGGGGGCGAGGTTGTCGTTTTATAGCTGCTTTCCATGGCGGCAGTTCTTCTCTGTCCCTAAAACATCAGTCACATTGTTTAAAATGCTCTAATTCAACGCATATAATCTATCATGACTTTACTCTTAATTTGTATTATTTGAACATGACAAAGAACTCATTTAGAAAATACAACATAGTTGAAAAAGTGTGAAACACATTTTAGGGGATCACAGTATTCAACTTAAATGCCAAAACAAAGTAAATATCAATTTACCTATCAGAGAGATTATACTCCAGATCAATCTGCCGATAACACTCCAGCGTGGTATTAACCACTAACTCCCGATAAACCCTGCCCTGGTTCCTCTCCTCCTGGTTGAAATCCTCTGAGAACTCCTCCTGGAGCTGGAGTGTGTCCAGAGTGCAGGGTCTCTTGTCCCGGAGACAGGAGACCAGGTGTCGGGTTGCTGCTACTGCCAACTCTCGGGTTGAGGAGCTCGTGTTTTGTACTGTGATCTGTTTTAAACCAGTTTTTAACAACGTTTAGTTAATTAATTCAAGAAAGTTTAGTTAATAAAACAAGAATTTGATTTAGTAAAATATTCAAATAAAGTATTATCAAATATTACAAAGAAAAAACTCGATCAACAAAAGTAAAAAAGGTACATAAAATGTATTCCACAGTGCTCTAATCTGACCTTTGGTGCAGGGAGAGCATCGGGAGTGGTTACAGTAGATCTCTCCTCTGTGGTGGTGCAACTTCTAGCAAGCGCAAGAGCATTCTCCAAATCTGAGTCTCGGTGCGTGTCGTTAAATATTGCGGGTTCTGAGAACAAAAAGATGGTCAATCTGGTTCTGCGGCATATTTTTTGTTGGGGACCGGCCCGAAGTATAACCAGCCAATGTTTACTCAAGTGAAAAACTCACACAAGATTAGATATTATTGAAACGATTAAAATGGAGCTTATCGAACAAAACATAGCTGAGCACAGATAAAGTTGCCTTTATGATTGTTAAGTTGAAATTATCATATTAATGCACTTTTGGAGTTGTTAGAGTGGAAACAGGCGCATAGCTACAGCTAGCTAGCTATTCCAAAATTTTGTTTTTACGACTGTTATCAGTCGCATAGCATCATGCCGTTGTTGCTGATGAATTGTTGGCAGTGTAACTGAGATGGTATGCAGTGAAATTGATTCTGTGATGCTTGAGGGCGTGCTTATGGTATTGAGACAAGGTTACTATCAGCATTACGGTTGATGTTGCGCTTTGATTTACTTAGTCCCGTTATATTGTATAACACAAAGTTAGGCCATTCGTCTGCAATGCCCTAATTGATGTGCTTTTCTTTCCTGACTTCCTGACATGGTCCCAAACAATAAATTGTTTTATCGAACGAGAGCGTCCGATTAAAGGTAATTTGAAGGTTTTTAGGATAGTAAAATAGAAATCCTTCCTTTAACGGAGGGGGGGGGGGGGTAAAAATTGTCCAAAAAGTAATATCTTACTATGTGAACGACCACTAAGGGCTGAAGCAGAAGTGAAATTTTTACCAACACAAAGTTATAAAATATAAAAAACACACCTCCTCTAATTGGAGACCCCTGTTCGGGAGATGTGGGGGACCGCTCCGTGTATTTGGGAGAGGAGCTCAGCTCTCGCTGGACCTTGTTCTGTCGAATCTTCAACATCTTCTGTACCGCCGCGCGCAGCATCTCGTGCACAAGCTCCTCAGGAAGCTGTCCCGCTTCGTCACGTGGTTCTGTGCTGATCTCACGTGGTTCTGTGGAGATCTCACGTGGTGTTGAGGTATTATGTGTCTCCGTTATGACATCTTGGTCACTTTTTTCTGATATAGTCCTCTCGTCTTCGTCAGATGTTACGTTTTTAGGCGATAGAGGATCTCCTTGTACAGGAGTTGTGGATCCTAGGGAGAGATAAATTAATCGTCGTCGATGAGAAAATAGTAAACCTGTTACAGGAACTGAGAAACTTTCTGGAGGGGGTTGTTTAAAACATATAAATGATACGAAAAGTTTATTAAGCAGGAGCTTTTAAAATAGTTCAGTGTAAATCGTTTTCAGGAACTATGAATATATGTCTTGATAAGATTATCTAAGTTTTTAGATCAAATGGGGAAGGGGAAGTCCAAAAATCCATCAATTTTAACGGAAATTGAAAATAGTGAAGTACCTGATGAACTCCTGAAACGTTTTGATGGCTCAGACATCAACTCCTTCAACTCTGACATAGTTTTGCTGGCCGAAAACGAAGCCTCACTCCCGTCCGATTTGGACTCTTGTCTCGACTGAGGCATGTCATGCTTCGAAAGAGCTAGTTCGTGTTTCAGTGAAACCTGACCCTCACTCTTTTCATCTTGAGAGAAATCGTCTAGATCTATGTCAGTCTCATCTGCCACTGAGAACTCTTCTTCGATCTGAGAGGGATGGGTTAGTGGAAACAGTTACTTGTTTACAGAGAGTCTCAACTACCTGGGCCTGGGTTCATTACAGCTATAAGAGTCAAGAGTGTCTTCTATAAAACATAATCTGCAAGTACTGCAGATTATGTTTTATACAAGACACTCAAGATGACGATCACCCCCCCCCCCGCCCCCCCCCCCACTAACATCTCATACCGGTAATTTGAAAGGAAGAGAAGGAACCCTCTCAAACCCAGGAAACAGGGCTGCTGACGGGTTGGTAGCACCCACCGGGTTACCATGGTAACTGGCAGGTTGTTTTATAACAGGTACACGACGTGTCCGGTTAAGGCTTGTTTGGAACCGGCGGTACGAGATTATGGGACCGGTCTGACCCGTTAATAAATTGGAGTAGATACAACCCATATTATATCTCCAATGAAGCCCAGAGAGCAGATATATCTTTTTCGAGAGTTTGATTTCGTAAAGAGCTGCATTCAGATGATAAAGATTCCTTTAGTTAGCTCCTGGATATTACAGGGAGACGTTCTGTGCGAGTGTGTTTCTGAGTTAACAGGCGGTTTCCTATAGCTCAGTCGGAGGGAAGAGAGTATTCTGGAACTCGTAAACTGATAAAACTAAAGAGCAGCTGAAGACAAGGACAAATAGGCCTATCAACACAAACATCTGCACATCAAACCAACTGGCACCTCGTTTAACAACAAAGTATCATTCAGCTCACTGAGTTGTGATGATATCAACACAAGACCAAAGAGCAGGTATTAATCGAGCAAAAAGGCACTGATTGTTAGCACGGTAACATCAATATAATCATCTAGGCTCGTAATTGTGGGCAATTAAAAAGCTGGATAAGGAGTGTAGATATATATACAGCCGGGCGGATGTACATGTTGGTTTATTTTAGTGCTATGTTGGACACGTGACACGGAGTTTAAGTCACGTGGGGTAAAGCTTGTTTGTGTGGCGATAGAGCTTTGTTTATTGAGAATAAGTATGTTGGATATGATATACGATTACAAGATATAGATAATGAATTAATTAGCGATCATTAACTAGTGAGATTGAATAATTATAAATATCTGTGGGACGGTTGATGGTTTAATTCAATTCAAAGCGTGAGCATCAAATGTTTTTGTCCGAACTACTGTTTTTGTAGTTTTGTTCGCAAATGCAATTAAGTTTTGAACAGAAAAGTTTACCAATACGATTGTAAGTTAAATGAATACGTTTTACCATCTCTGCAGCCCGGAGAGTTGATCCAATTTTCAAAATAAAACTGCATTAAAAAGATTTATGGATTGTACGGAAATATTACATTATTTTAATTTGTCATTATTTTTATTAACAATCAACCCTTTGAAGTTTGAAACATCATGTTTATTAATATTCACGTACACAATTAAGCGACATAATCAAAATTTAACGATTTAATGACCATTAATTAAGTTTAATTACTAACGCGAACGTTACAAGACTATTAATCAATTTTAATTAATAACTTTACAAGATAACCTACCTCGCTAGTAATTGGGACAGATGGAGGTTTAAAAGATCTCTGTCGGAGGCTCTGACTTCTCTCCGATAAAATCCGGTTGCCAGCACTTTGTTGGGATTTAGGGGGAGAAGGGAGGAGGGACGACTTGCTGGCTGGAGAGGGAGCGAGAGGGAGCGGGGGAGTGGGTTGTAGTGGGAACTTGGAGGAGGAATGGACTTGGTCAGGTGAGTCGAGTCGTTTTGTTGTTGATCTGGTGTCTGTGCTTGATCCTGGTAAAGGAATGTATGAGTCTCCTGAATCTGTTTTTGGTTATTGAAACGGCCATGATTTCAGATAAGTGTGGATATTTACTTAAAAAGACAATTTCCAAAAATTCAAAATTTGAGATTTAATTATTTTAACCTGGAGTAGGAGAAGAAATATCGCTCAAATTCGAGAACATTCCACGTGATTTCTCTGAAGATTCACTTTTGTCACGTGATTTATCGACACGAGGTGACTTCTCCAGATCAGTTTCAATTTCAGTAGATATAGAGCAGGTTTTCATCAGCTCTCCTCTTAGGGTCTGTTGTTTTGATCCCTTAGTTTTAGAGGAAGCAGAGACGGAGTCTGGAGCAGCTGCAAACAAGTTACTCTTATTACTATTGTTAACTTATTGGACAATTATATCAGCCAATCCATTTTCATTCACCAAAGCACAATCAATCGGAACAGGCTGACATAAAAAAGGTTAAAATATCGAGCAAATATGCGAAATAAAAATAGCTATGTAAATAAGATAAGAATGTTTAACTGTTTACCATATACAGGAGTAAGAGCCGCTACATCCAACTCCACGTTGACCAAACCAGGCGACGAGGACTTGGCCGCGGACATGATATCAGCAGACTTGTGCAGAGACTCATCAATATCTGAGAGCAAGGACTTGAAGTCGTCGTTATCATCATCTACATCTTCACCCTCGTCAAACGAAAGAGTGTAACTGTGTTTTACAGAAGATTTAGAGGTCAACTTGTTGAGAGTTGGAGATCCACCGTCTAGGTTCAGCTCTGCTAACTTCTCTGATATGGTTTTATGGTGAGAACTGGAGTCTGATTTGGATGATGAGTGGTCCGCTTTGGTAGATCGGCTCTGATTCTTTGACAGGGATTTGGAGTGATAGCTTGATTTCTCTGAAATTAAAGCCTCATAAATCTCCTCTGATATGCTATCATCTTTTGGTTGACTGAGCCTGCTGTGGGAAAGATTCTTGTAGGAGCTGATACTGACATCTGTGTTGTCATTGATGCTGCTTCCAGACGAGATAGATAGATCTTCCAGCACCTCTTTTACCTCGAGATGGAATGAAGGCTGAGGGGACTCATTATATGGAGCCTTGTCATCGTCAACAATATCACCTACTTCTTGTAGAGAGAATATAGAGGGTCTATCAGATATACTGTCGTCTTTGTCTTCTAGCTCCCCAATAGATTTGATGTTCTCGGATGCTTTGATGGACTCGTGTGATTTGTCAAATTCAGGGAATGAAAGGTGTATTGCCGGGTCTAACTCAGTGGTACTAGGTAACAGTTTATGGTAGGAAGCTTCAGAAAACTTGCTCAGATCCTCTGAAATGGAGTTGGAAGTGTCATCTTGCTTCCTGCTCGAAACGGCTGATGAAACTGAGCGAGTGGTAGCCGCGGTCTTTTTCTCCCGCTCCACCGACTCACTGATAGACTGAGTAGATTTCCCTATAGACTCTGACACATACTCATCCTCCTTCTTCTCTGAAACCGTCACATCCTTATCAGAGAGAGACGAGGTGATGGAGATTATTCTAGAACTATCCGGAGAGATTGAGAGGTCAGACCGGGAACTGTGGCTTTTAACCAGGGAGCGCTTGACGGGGGAGTCACCTCGATCTGAACGGGAGGGAGAGTGTTGCCGGAGCTTTGTGGAGATCTGTGACTTTTGTTTCTCTATAACGTCTGTAACAGTCTGATGGGAGGAGAGTTTTGTTAGGTTTGAAATGAAACGAATCAAATTTTACTCTTTGGTGAGCTTAAATGTTCCTTTGTGAAGGCGAACAACAAAATATTAGCTAGCTTAAGCAAACCTGAATTTGTTTTCGGAGTTTTAATTCCTGCTGTCGAAGGGCTTGCTTTTTCTTCTGCTGCTGATTCTTTAGAAGCGTCCTTGCTTCATCTTTCTTCCTCTTTAACTCACTCTTTAGGTTCTGTATTCGACCCTCCAACTCCTACAATAATTATTATTTAATGTTGTCAGCTGGTTGTTGTAAACCTAATGAACGATTCAACTTCAAATAAGTTTGCTAGATGTGGACTAAAACTCATAAAAAGATTCCAAACATCCAACAGAAGAAATGAGTGATAACCCAGGACGCTTACCTCGAGGGAACTGTGTTCATGATCAATAACAGAGAGAGCAGGGGAGTCAGGTACAGGCCCGACATGTCCTCTATAAGGGGTACTGGACTCTACCTCCGAGTATTTGAGAGTGTTATTAAGATCATCTTTGAGGGTGGAACTGGTATCGTTGAGAGGGGTTATACCGTGGGGGAGTCGAGAGGTTGAGGATAGCCCAAACTCTTGCTCGATCTGAGGAAGTGTAACTCATTATTAACGGTGACAGAGACGATAACAAACGGACCCCCGAGCTCACCGGTTTTTGTCAAGAAAACTGAAAGTTTGGTATCTTCACAATCAAAGAGTTCAAGTGAAATATTTTATCTTAACTTACATCTGAAATTTCGGTGACATTTTCCTGGTGGTCACGTTTTCGACAGCAATTTCGAATACAACAACATATGGACACAAATTTATTCATAATACCCATACAGTTGTATCAGTATGATAAAGTTACTATTTTATGACCCTTAACAGATGCTCATGAGGCCCAATAACAATAGGCACGATCAACGATGTATAAAATATTAATACTGTATAGTAGGTTACATAAGTCCTTAGTAATGTACACTTTACAGTTAATAAAAATGCCGCCCAGTTCACCTGTTGCCGGGGCTAAATATTTCTCAGTGTGAAGGTTATTATCGGCAATTGAATTTAAAGGTTTTTGCTCTAAATCGTGCCAAAGCTGAAAGCACTCTAAATGCCCTCAAAAAGAAAAATTACTTTAATGCTTAAAAGAATAAATTAAAACCTTAACCCGAACTTTTAAATTGTGTGAGCTATTTTCATTCTGCTCCTTACCTTCTCAGTTTCCCGTTTCTCTGACAGTGCCAAATCAAGGAGTCTCCTGACTTCCTCCCCCTCCTTCTGTATCTTCTGGTTAAAGTCTGTTAGGGATTTTATCTTCATATCATCTGCCTCATAAACACTGCTGACGTCTGTATCTAGAAAAGAGGGGTATAGCCTTGCGAAAAAGGTACTAAAAAACATACATGGTAAACACATAAACAAGAATGCGTCCAAACTCATGTTATAACTAATTTCAATCTACCAGGAAATTGGGGAAATTACTAAGTTCAAACTAAATTTACTACCGAAATTTTGCAAACTCACCATATTCTGAGAAGATCCTAGTGTACTCAGAAGCGTCCGTATCGGACACACCATCCTCAAAATCAGTGGGATGCTCCTCAGCGTATTTAATCTTCCTTCTGAAAGCTGCTGTTCGCTCCTGGATGTGTGATATTTCACGTTGTTGCAGCAACATTTTCTTTCGTTCTGCCTGCAAATACAGGAGGAATTAAGGGAGGAATTAAGGGAGGAAAGTCGATATCAAAGTGTTGTTAAACATGAAAGGTTTGTGCTTGAAATAAAATTAGGCTACATTCGTTGCTATTCTACTGCCTGATTTGGTATCTAAAGAAAAGTATTCAAACACAAGGAAATATTTCTTACCTGAGCTGCTCTTTGTACTGCTGCAAGTCTCCTTATCTCCTCCTGTTCTGATGCCAATGTAGCTAGGATATGTTTCTCTTGTTTGAGTAGGGGTGGCATCTTATCGTCGTATCCTTTCTTCTGGATCCGTCTAGGGGAATTTAATAGAATATAAGAAAACAGAAAATGGAAAAAGATATCATTCTTTGTGTTGGTAATTTATCCTCCAAACATGAAGATAAATTTAAATTATCATCAATTCTATGACGCGGATTTGCATGTTTGTAAGTTTGAGGGCCAGAGTATCTTATTTTATCTTTATTCTTTTACTTTAGCTACCTGAGACAGTAATCCAAACATCTAACAATGAACCCATGAAGGATAATAGATACGATGAGGGTGACTGGATCAACTGTCGGAGATTGATCGAAGTACAGCATGATTTAGAGTCGTTAGGAAGAACTCATGATGACCTTTAATAGATAGCTTGGGTAGAGCAGATGCACGGTTAGCAAGATCAAGTCAAAGAATGTTTGTATTATGGAACGGCTAACGGGGAATGTATACGGTACTAAAGTGCAACAATCCGCAAAATTACTTAAAATCGACACAACCTTGCAGCTCAAGATAGTTGTTAAATTTTACTGTCGTGAAACTTGTCAGCTGCGACCAAATCAAAGTAACAAGTCAGAAAATAGGGCCCTAACATAATTGGTTTAAACGAATCAGCTTTCAAAATATAAATACGCAGCTGTTACTGCAAAAATAGTCCGAATAGGGGTGAAATTAATAAAAGCAGGTACACGCATTAAAGAAAGACAGGTGTGTACAAGCACGACTAAGCTCACGTGTAACATTTCTCTGTACACGTGCAAATTTCTCTGCACACGTGCACATTTGGAGCGAGATACAGACAGCTAGTTACATTAACAGGAACCCGTCACGTGATCAAGCTATCTGGAGAACGAGCCAATCAATGCAGCCTGTCTGCAGCGGTGCGAATTGTAACCGTTATTATTAACGAGGCAATCACGTGGTCTAACAAGGTGACACGTGACCTTCTCAAATCGGAAGTTGCAGAGAATGCACAGTGTAGTAGAAGGTAAGGAGGCGCTGCAGGTTTGTGCGGTATTAATAGTACGGAATTACTGTGGAGTAAAGGATGTGGGACTAACCATGGCAACTTGGATTTGGACACACAGAAATCTTGTCGCTTTCGTAAATCTGAAGATCAATGAATTTCCTAAATATGATATCCTGCTTTTCCTTAGAACTGAAATGATTATCATTTATCAGATAACAAACCTTTTCTTGATATCAATCCATTGAAGTTTTGCGTTTGTTTTCTCCTTTACGGCTTGTTGTCGTAGGTCCAGCAGAGCTTTCTGATGTTTAGACCTCAGCTTGTCATTTTTCATGTAATGGTCCACTTGCTCGAGTGTGAATGTTGCGAATTTATCCTGTAGGTAGAAAATAATTGTTAATGGGGAGATGAATTAAATTGATTACATGTTGATTTTTCAAATATGCACTTAATGATATGCATGGTTTTGTTAATGACAATTGACAAAAAGTTTTAAAACCGGAATAAAATTTGATTGAATCTGAAAATTTAGAGTCTTAGAACACAAAATAAGTGATTTTTATACTTTAAGGTGGAACCTTTACGAAGAAATACCCAACAATTCCACTTAAAATTCGCCGAACTTTTATTATATAAATTCAGGCGGCAATTGTGAATCGCACCTTTCTTGTTGAGAGGTTAACAGAGACGACCGATTCCGCATCAGAGGCACTCATCCTTCTTCGGTGGGATTCAGACGGCAGTACAGCTCTGAATGACTCATGAGCTGAAAAGTGAGGAATAGTATCCTTAATTTTATTACGATCGACTTAGGACTTCCTTCGTTTCGGTTGTCATAAGAAATTTCACTACATGGAAAGAGCTCTTAGGTTTAAAAAACTATCTAAATCGTTGTCATACGTTGTATGACCCGCCGCGCACGAGTGCGCGGCTCCCCCTGTATCGTAGAAACTCTACCATAGTGAAACGACCGTGGGGGTCACGACGTGATACAACTAAATCGTAGGATTGATCTATGTATATCGAGAGGAGGAGGCCGGGGAGAGCAGACCCCAGAGCTTTATCCTTCATATCACAGTAGGAAGAAAGACTATTCCACAAACAATAAACTTACCTTTCTCTGGAGAACTCTCGAACTCGGTCTCCACATCGGCGTCTCTGCCGGGAGTATCAGCCATCATCAGGCCCCGCCTGGAGACCGGTGTAACCGGCTCCTCTGTCATTCCGGTCTCTGTCATCGGAGTTTCAGGGTCCTCTGATGCTGATGAAACTGATACTTCTGTGGGGATGTCTTGTTGCGAAGAGGTTGGGATCTGCTCGGAGATCTCCTCTGGTATATCCTGAGGGGGATGTGATGTCAAGTTTAGTTTGGAGATAGTTAATGACTATTAACATTATATAATACAGGGTGTTTCAAAAATAATGTATATATAATGTATGTTATCCACTTAAAAGGTTATATTTCTAGAGTTTAGACTGACAATGGAAAGAATGTTCTAGAATGCCCAAAGCAAATCTTCCAGGAAATTTACTAACACTGTCCAAAGGTCGACTCTTGGTCGGGCTAGGAGTCCTGAGTTCGCTGTCCACTTCAAAGGTCACGTTTAGGGTCGTGTCTGTTGGCGACAGGGCTTCCGATCCTGTGACTGTAACATTTATTGTCAATTAAGAAAATGTGGGTCTCTGGAGACTGGATTTCTTCATCAAATTGTTTGTCAGACTTTTATGGACTAAAAGAAATGTTGCAGCTTAAATCAGTTGGTATCAACAAAGACAGCTAAAATAACACGACCAGCACAAAGATAAAACCGTTTGAGTTTGATTAATAAATAACTTTACATACCACAATAGTAACTACATTTTTTATTGTAAAATCTAAATATATTGCAATATGGTTTAAACTTTTAAAGGGATTTAACAGCTTCAAGCAAGAATATGGCTTTGAAAAAATTCATAATTCGATTGAGCTTATAATGCTTTGATAATGCATATTCAGGACGGATAAATATTAAATAAACATAAAACTTAAATAAATTAAAGAATAAATAAATAAACGCAGTAAATTGTCCAGAGTCATGAGCAATTTGCTAACTCCTGTCTCCCTCGCAGTTCTTTCACAAATGTAGTGACTCTGTGATATCTGTTTCTGATATAAGAACATCGAATACTTGACACACAAGTCACTATGACCCATGCTACATTTGTATCACACAGAATTAACAAGTTGAGAAAGGGCATAACGTTGGGCTTGGAAGACAATTTCTATGAACACGGAACAGATATATGTGAATAAAATTAAAGAGCAACTCACCAGTTATATCGTTAATATCATCCACAGCTGATTGCGATAGTTTGGGTGTAACCTGTGATGGGGTGTACGGAGACTCACTACCAGCGTCTCTTGAGAACGAGGCTGTTGTCGGGGTGGACTCTGTCGGGGTGGACTCTGAAATAGTAGCCACTTCATAATGTGATGAAACAAGTGATACAACTCTGTCATTTTATTGACTCGATCAGTGCAGTGGTTTATAGTAATTAGTTAATAACAATAATTCGATCAAGGCGTTGTCTATCGGAACGCATGGCACAGTACGAGACATCACCATTACTCCGCATCCCCTTCATTTGCGCTCTACATTTGCACTCCACTCCATCACAATCACATAGTCGACTCCTTTACCACACCCACACGGACATATCTCAAGCATCTTCATTCTTCACAATTCACGTTGTTTTTCTGTAAGGGTCTGCGTGCTTTTCTATCTCTTTGTTAGCTATTAGCTTGAACGATATAATGCACTCGCCTTTAGAGCGACATCATGAGTTTCTCTTGGTTTAAACACCTTAATGGTAACAGATTTTCTACTTGGATTTCGGACTATGACTTTTTAGCAACGCTGATCTGACATTATTTCACTGTAATATAGATATAGATCTATTTATGTAGCGTAGATCTATTCTTTGTTGTAAACCATGGCCGGGTCGAGCTGATCAAAACAAAACGCACGCTTCGAATTGCGCGCCAAACTATACAGGACGCTGAAAAAGGGCATTATTATACGCTGGTTTTTCAAAAACTAGCAATATCATTGCCGCGCATTCAATCCAAACGGTCACCTATCTTGGGGGGGGGGGGGGGGGGGGGGTCCAAGGGGAACTTTGGGGAGTTTTGGGGAACTTTTTTTTGGGGAACTTTAGAAATCTTGGGGGACTTTCCCAAAGTTCCCCAAAGTTCCCCTTGGACCCCCCCCCCCCCCCCCCCAATCTTGCACTAACTCAACAAAATTAATTTAACGGCCGTGACCAATTTGATAGCGCTTACGATTGATCATCGACAACTTCAATATGCTGTAAGTACATTATATATGCCAATTAAAGTACCTGATTTCTTGGTGTGAGACTTGAGAATGTGCTGAGCCATGTTGATTAGTTCCTTGTTCGTAGCATCCTGGCTAGACGCTATCTTATGTGTGGCTTGTAGAGCAGCTTCTGCTGATTTAGCTTTGATCTGAAGTAATCTAACGGTACAAATTTGAATCAAAACTATAACTGAATATCATGAAAACCTAGGGCCCACAACCGCTGGCCCTGCTACTTAGTGCCTGGAATTATCTGAGATTTTGAAACAAGGGTTAACTATGGTGCTCTGTACTGAGTTGGATAAGGGATAGGATCATTTCTAGTTATAACAAAATGAGGGCAAATGATGACATAAAACATTCTGAATATAAAAGTAGTGTATTATCTTGTTCAACCCACCTCAGCCTCCTTAGCCAGGTTTTCAGCTTTAGTCAACATGGTCTGCTGTTGGACATGCTGCAATTTCTCCTGGAACGCCAACATGTCCTTCTTCAGCTTTTCTTGCAACTCTGTCATCTCAGAGGCATGCTCAGTTTTCTCACGCTGTGGGATGTAATCAAATAACACATTGCATGTCATCTGTTCGATGTTCTTCTGTATATAACGACATCTGCATCGTGCATATACACATCATACAGACAAATTGGAAGCATGATTTCATGAAATTGTACATGACAGCTTTATAAATACACGAATACAAATAGACATAAATACACATAGATTAGTAATTTATTTAAGGTACCTGCATGGCCCTAGCCATAGCAATAGTGTCGTGTTGAGACTCAGTGTATTGTTGAGTATGCTCCAATGTGGTGGCATGTTCTAGCCCAGCGCTGAATGTATCGTAGCGCGCCAGCTCGCCGCGCAGTTTGCGGTGCAACGCACCAGGCGAGTACACTCCACTCTCATCTTGCTGAGGGGGTAGTAGGGGTTATGAACACAGTTCAGGGTATAGTGACAATCGCGTGTTAGAATTATAATCATATCTTAATGATTAATTTAATTAATGATTAGTGTAATTTGTGATTAATGTAGTTAATAACCAGAGTAATTAGTGTACATAGCATCAGCTCTGTGTTTGGTGGTCTTTATATGACACGTGATGTCAAGCCTTAATACTTTGAGAGTATACGTTCTGATTTGCAAGTAAGATTGTTACTTCTTATTTACGAAGCTGTAATAGCCGTATAGTTCGTAAACCCATCACATAAAGAATAAAACATAAGCAATCTCCCAGTAACCTTGCCAGGAGTATCCTCCTCAGAGAAAGATAAGGTTTTCCTCGCGCTGGCGGGGGACACCAGGTTCGCATCCTCCGTTCTGTCAGGTGTGAAGTGGTATGAGTCACGTGACCTGTCACGTGCTGTACTGCTGCTGCTGTCTGAGCAGCTGGTCCTCAGCAGCGACCTGTTGTTGGTAATGTTATCATGTATCACGGTGAGGTTAATTATTCGATTTGGATGATTTTATTGGTGATGAGTATTATCGCTTTTTACAGAGATTGCTGAATTAAATATTGGTTATTGCATCATGATAATTATTATTTATTAATTACAACTGATGTTGTAGATATCAGTTTAGACTTAAAGACGGAATCTAGAAGCTACTACTCCAAGTACAAGCAGGTATATCATGAGTTGTTATATTATAATAAATGATATTTATAATTCACTGACTCAGTATTACGAGTATCAGCTCCCGCTCCACTGCTACCAGAAATATCAGACCCTTCCATATCAGTCACGTGTTCTATATCCGTCACGTGTAATCTGCTGTGAGTCCTGCGCTCCTCTTCCAGTGCTGATATTGCTACCTGGGAGGGAATAATATTAAACAAGAGGGGGACGCAACAGTAGTTAGGACCGACTAATTCCATTAGTCTGTTTCTTGAACCAGGTTCAAAACTTGCTCAGATATTTATCCGTTTAAAAATATCTAGAAGTAACCTTGTCCTCTAAGAGTTGACGCTCCAATTCGCGTAGTTTTTCCTGCTCCTCCTCCCGCTCCTTCTTCATCACCAGCAGAGCCGCTTCTCTCTCCAATCTCTCCTTATCTTCTGATTTTTCTCTCTCTTTCTTTTCTTCCTCAATTCTCTTCTCTTCTGAATCATTTACATACATGTTACATTTTACATTCTGTTATTTAGGGCACGTTCTATAATATAATTATTATAATTTTTCTATAAATGGATTTGGATGTAGGACTTTACAGCTTTAGCCACATACTAACATCAAGGGGTCTACAAAATCTTTCAGCGTCCAAAGAAAGACACTCAGATAGATAATAAATTCACATGATACCACAAATATTACTCTAAACCAACCTAATTGTCGTTTTCTAGCGTAGACGTTGATAATGCTGTACGGATCAGCTGTGAGTGGATACTGATAGGGTTCTGGTGTCACTTCATGTTTGGGAGGAGACGGTATCTGGTAATCTCTGAAGTTTGTCATGTCAGTCATGTGATATTCCATGCTACAACATACGGCTTTTGTGTTAACTGAGTAATTGTTTTTTAACGCCGAATAATCAAGTTGGCATGAAAGCTGCCGTCGTGTCAGCGAAGAGAGTTTTACCGGCGCAACAGGATCGAGCGCCAGTGTACACCTCTACAAGCTTTGTACGATTCAGACATTAAACTCATTTAAATGTAGATATTTTCATTAAAAAGAAGTTATACCTGTAGTCAATAGAGGACGCTCTAGAAACTTCTTCAGAAACACTATTATCAGTCTTATCTTGAGCAGTAGAGTCGTTACCAGACTCTTGGCTTTCTACCCACGCTTCTCGGATATTTTTAGCTCCTAGGTAGTAAGTGATTATTTAGTTTCACTTTTATTCGTAGGTCAAACGAAAAAACAAACATCGTTATTAAAATCACGCAAGTTTTAATCCAAAAACCACATAAAGGTCGTACAAATCAGGGAAAAAATATTGATACAAATTCAGATGATGCACTCGAAAGCATAGACGCTTATTAGAAATCAAAATCCGTGTTAATATGACGTGTCCAATTATGTTATTACTCAATTATCTCGCAATAATTATACACATAATTAATAATTATACGCATAATTAAAAGTTACCTGGTAGGGATTGTTGTGAGTTGTAGCGAGGGAGCCCGGAGGTGAAATTGGTCGCTCGAGAAGCTTCCGCCGTAAGTCTGTTCGTCTCTTCGTAGATCTTTTGTCTGGTAAATGAAACAAAATTATGTTTAACTAGACATTTTCAGAGTTTTTCATTCCGAATAAAATATATTATGTATTACACGAAGTCTGTTCTGGACTGACATGGTACCTAATATATATCATATAGTCAGTACCACTCATAGTAACATAATACAAGAACTCATAAAAATGGTGCTGATTTTTCGGGCACACGGCTGAGTTCAAATGACGCGTCTTGACAATTTGACTGATTATTTTTATAGAGGTTCATTAAATTCAATTTCGGTGATACACATCACTTGGATAACAAATATGATGATCAACAAACCTGAGAGCTAATGCAGTTTGTCTGATAGCGTCCATCCTCTGTCTCTGCTCGTTGTACAGAGCCGATGTTGAAGTGAACGATTCCTGCTTACCTGGATCCATGTAAGTATCCAGGAGATTGACTTCTTTTATCTGTTACGTTATTTAATTACATTTCTTGTATTTAAACGCCAAACCATGAATCCTATTTAATCATAATTGCCTGCTTATTCATATCAATCCTAGGCCTGCTAATCCTACTTACAGAGTTTTCTTTTTCTTCGTCAGTATTTACAGCCTCGTCACCATCACTATCCGACATATTGATTTCATCATCTTTCTCAGGCGGAGAGCTTCGCTTGTTTGAGTCACTGCAATAAATAAATTAAACTGCTGGTGCCTAAAACACAAGGAGGGCGTTTAAAACGACCAACAATTTCTTGATATTTCCGGCATCAGTATTGGCAGTGCATCAATTTTCACAAAGAAATTTTTATGTTTTATAGTTATCTATCGCCCAAAAAGAGTTAAATGTAGTTGGGAATAGAAACCTCATAGTAGCAGATGGAGGTATAAGAGGTATGTAAGGAAGAGACTTTTCACTGATAGTGTTCTCCTTATCTGATGATTCACTAGAGGTAGCTCTGGTTTTAGAATCAGAATCTGTAACTGATATCCTCTTGCCTGGTTGTGGAGATGGTGAAGTTGGTGAGGGGTTCACAGTGCTTCGTTTCAGTGCTTTCTTTTGAAAGTTAAATAGCTCTTTTAGACGCTTTTCTTTTTCTTTCTCCGCCTCAGCATGCTTTCTTTTCTCAGTTATCATTTCTTTTTTCCTCTGCTTTCTCGTGTTTTCAATATAATTCTGAACATCAGATGGGTTGTAGTGGCGAGCTTTAACTTTTGGAGGCTCCTCAACAGGTGGTTTTTCTATCTTTCTAGGCTTTCTTGGAACATTCGGTGGAGTTTTGGGCTTTTTGGCCTTCCTGACAGGCTGAATTTCCTTCTTGGCAACTGAAATGGATTTTGTAGAAGTTGTATCACTTGTGATGCTGGTTGTACTAGTAGTTTCCTGTGTCTTGTTTCCCAAAACTTTCCTTGTTAATGCTGCACCTTGGCGCCATGAAGATGTGGTGATAATAGCAGATTTCCCACCATCACCAGTCTTGATCTTACGCTGAAGAACAGGCTGCTTGATCACTGGCTTGGGTTCAGGCGTTTTGGCTCTAGGTTGAACAGGTTGAAAGGTCTTTTTAACAGGTTTCTGGGGCTCATTACAACCAAAATTGTTCTCAAGAGCTGGAGCAGTGGCTTTCTTTCTCTTGCGGACAATACTTTTCGGAGCAACTTGAGGTGCCCGTGTGTATTGTGATGTACTTACAGAATATTCCTCTGGGTCAAGAAACCTCACTTGCTGTTCTTCTCCTTTTTGAGTGTCTTTTCTCTTGGCAGCTTGTCCACTAAGCTGCTTCTGCCTTAAAATCTTCTCCTTCAACTTCATCATTCCCTCTTCAATAGCTTTAGGATCTCTAAGAGGACGTGATGGAATAGTGGAGACACTCTCAATGTCACTGAAAACCACATCAGTACGACCACTTTTAAGTGGTGAAGAAGTGGTTCTCTGATTCAGGTTTCCAACTATTGTTCTGGGAATTGTGTCTGCTGCCATGTTTCTGCTGTTGTTTGTAAGGTCCATGTTTTCAAAAACTGATCTGGTAGGAGGGTGATCCTGACTTTTTTGAGAATTTCTGTAGGACGTTATCTTTCTTTCAAGACCACTTGCCTGAATAATTTTAGTGACGTTAATGATAGCTAATAACTCTAGGTTAAGTGCACTACATTGTGTGGGAAATTATTCTTGGGCACAGTACTTTGGAGTTCAACTATTAAAAATCTTATTTTACAAAAACTACTCACAGATGCTTTGATGCTTCCAATTCCAGCCCATGCTTTAGTGATATCTAAAAGGTTTATATAATTAAGTTCAGAAATTTGGACATTGAATAGTACTGTGTCTTTAATTACCACTTTGTTGTTACCAAACTAAGTAATCTAATAAATTTTACGCTTATAAAAAGCTCCTATTTGTTTAGTAGAGCACTTTGTTGAACCTGATAAACAAACACTTTTGTAATCTAGTAAATATGTATATGAATTGGTTAAATATATAACTTAACTTATGTTTATTCTACAGTCAAAGTTAATATTACACTCGTCACTCACTTACCATCTGACATGTTGAATTCAGATCTATAATCAGAATAAACTAGTTTTCAGAATCTGTCTGTGAGCTTTAGACTTCAGGATAACCATTAACAGGAGGCCATCCAGTGGAATTTCTCGATCCTATGCTACAGTATGAATCAAGTTCAGTCAATAGTGTTAAAAGTACAAAACTACAAATTCATTCCACACAGTAACTTATAATGAAATTAGGGTTTCACACCCCAATTGCTTATCAAACAGGACAAAGACTCTTCAAGAAGTATATGAAATGAACGAGAACAAGAAGAAGGGTGAGTATTCAGAGAGAGCGTTGAAAGTGGAGAAGGCAACCTTCACCCGGCTGTATTTCTCACATCCGGAGGTATGTCGAAAGAATATAAGCAATTTTTCAACAGATTAGCAGACCTCATCACCATAAAGAGGAAGGAGAGATATTGTGATGTGGTAAGACATGTAAGAACGAGGATAAGATTTGCAATGCAAGAACAACACTTATTGCTCCATGTGGGTACAGGGGAAAGAAGATAGACAGCAATGCTACATGAGACCCCTCTATCAGAAGTTTATACAGCCTCATCACTGCCCTTACGATGGAGAAAATTATGTTTTTAAAAATTTTGTGTATATATTTGTTTGTTTCAAGTTCAAAAATATTGGTAACAATGGACCATTTCTGTTACCTATGTATTGTGTTCTGCCAATTTCATCACTTGATTTAATAGAATGAATATATTGTTTGAATGACCTTTTCTTTTAAACTTAGATTTTTGTAAAGCATTTGATAGTGTTCCACATCATAGACTACTTACAAAAATGAGAAATTTGGGTATAAGTGGTAACACTTTAGATATTGTGAAAGACTTTTTATCTGGAAGAAGATTTAAGACATTTGTTGGTGGAGCATATTCCTACCTTCGTGATGTTTTATCAGGCGTCCCACAAGGGTCTGTTTTAGGTCCTTTATTGTTTGTCATTTTTATCAATGACTTGCCTGATTGTATTAATGGTATATCAAAACTGTTTGCAGATGATCTTAAAGTTATTATGGATGCCAATGACACTGAAAGCACTTTCAATATGTTAGAAAGCTTGCAAAATTGGCAAAATGTGTGGCTGTTAAAGTTTAATCCTAGCAAATGCAAAATAATGCATGTTCCATTTAATGAAAATCCCCTTCAAGAATATGTATTTAGTGGTGTTACACTTGAATGTATTGAAGCAGAGAAAGATCTTGGAGTTTTAACTTCTTCAGATTTGAAATGGTCGAAACATATTAAAAGTTGTATTAGTAAAGCAAACAGTATGATTGCATGGGTTACAAGGAATCTCATTATAAGAGAAATTAATGCTATGAGAAATGTTTATAAAACTATAATAAGACCCCACTTGGAGTATTGTGCTCAGTTGTGGTCTCCACCTGCCTGCCATGGGAATTGGGCTACTATCATTGAACTGGAAAATGTCCAGAGAAGGTTCACACGCCTTATTGATGATATTGGAACACTTCCTTACAGTGAAAGGTTGGATGCCTTACAGATTACAACACTCGCAGAGAGACGGGTTAGAGGAGATTTGATTGAAGCCTACAAAATTGTAAATGGATTGGTTGAGTATGGAAAAGATATTTTCAATTTAAGTAGATCGGGAGATAAAATTGTTAGCACTAAATCTAACAATATTGATAGAAATATTAAAACCTTGTCTAATAATTTTTTATCAGAGCGTGTTATCAGCTTTTGGAATAAATTGCCATCTTTTGTTAGAAATTCAGTGTCTGTTATTGATTTTAAAATTAATCTAGAAGAATTTAAAAAGACTAATAATTTAGTAGACACAGGCAACTTTTGGGAAGTGTCAAATATAGTTTTAGCAAAAATAGAGGGTGTAAATTATATCGAAAAGAAGAAGCAACAAGTCCAATATTTATATAAAAATCCGTGTGTTGCCAAGAGAAAGGGAATAAATATCTCATGAATTTGTTTTTATTTATTTATTTTTTAAATTAACGGTTTTTAACTTTTTAAACTTTTTTATATTTTTTTTATTTGAAAATTCAATTAATTATTATATATATAAATCAAGCGTTACATTTCAGCCATGCAAAATTACAATGACATATTTTGATTACTAAATGATAAATGGTACTGCAATATAAGTTGCTTAATGTTTGGCCGGATGACAACTAACGAGAAAAATAAACTTGATTATATAATAATTAATTCGGCTGGGGCCTTGTTAGGATTTAACTTTTTAAGAATCAACAGAACATCTTCTCTACTAAACACAAGACTTGAAAAACAATCATCACGAAAATCTATGTCAATGCCATAATCGCTCTCTTGAGAAAACTGCTCATAAAAATATACGTTAAAAAGGGCAGCTTGATCAGATGGATTGTTTCGAAAGCGATTATGATATTTGACAGTTTCAGGGATCCTGGTTGACTTTGATTTAGATTTAACGTAGGTCCAGAATTTCTTGGAGATAAGAGCATCATCGGAGTCATCCTCAACACTGAGTCTCATTCTTTCGTCCATCAAATTTTTAAATTTTGTGCGAAATGCACGAAACTTTTGTTTATGAGACTCAGAGTTGCTCCCCTTATGCCTTATTCTCCATTTCTCCTTATTTCGTAGGAGATGATCACATTCGGAGTCATACCATGGGGGCTGGAACTGAGACTTAATGGTCTTTTTAGGGATCCATCGGTCACAGGCTGCACCGAGAACTCCTCTACTATCATGATTGAACTATAAGCTGATAAGCTTTCAGATCCATTTTTAACCACTTGATGTAATGTTTTTAATAATTAAATATTTTATTTTACAAATTTATATCAGATCGAACCTATATTTGATAATCGAACCTATATTCGATAATCAAACCTGTATTCGATAGTTAAATTTATGCAATAAATTGATATTGATATTATTATTGTTGAATGAAGTTAACTCCTGAGATAAATTTTATTAATTTTTAACAAAGGGACTTGGAGTATAAACGACCAAGTTCGCATAAATGCCTACCCAACCAAGAATTTAGGAGGCAAGGGTGGGTGCGTAAACTTTACGGTCTGCACTCTCCGATCCTGTATCACCCTGGATTCTTTTTGACGTATTTTTGTATTAGGTATATACCTTCTATCCATTCTCTTGCTACTCCAAGTCCCCTAAGATATCTGGTAAAAAGGTCCTGCTAGTTATATATAAAATATATTTATGTTTGCTTTAATTGATACTAAATAAAATTGTTGTTTTCTTGAAATTGTTGTTTTCTTTCTGAATCGACTCCAGGCAAGATAAGGATCATTACACTCAAATATACTATCCCAATCGATGCTAAATAACTCAGAATTCAGGCCCCTAAAATTACCTTTACTATAATTAAAGATCTTTCTTTTAGGCTGCTTAATATACTTGGTCTTAATATCAATGTCAAATGTGATACAAAAGTGGTCGGACATACACATTTCGTTTTGATCTAAAATTTTAACATTCTTAATAAGGTTTTGAATGTTAGTGAACACAAGATCTAAGGTGTTGCCTGACTTGTGAGTAGGGGAGCTAATAAGTTGTGTATGTCCGAGGTCATCAGTGAGAAAATTTACAAAGCTAGAATGTAGCTGGCAAGATGACTGACCATCTGGCCAGGAAATCGAAGCCAAATTAAAGTCACCTACCAGAATGTGCCTTTGCAATTTTCTGGCAGATGCTAAAGTAACAAAATGTTTCTTGAAAGATTCAAAATTATCTAAGCCAAGCGTTCCTACTCTATAAAATGTTGATATACAAAAGTTTCTTCCACACTGAGTCTTAATTATGATGGATAATAATTCAGCTTGAACACTAACTTTAGAGAACTTTAGACTCGAGATATCAATGTCTGTTCTATGGGCAATCAGAACACCACCACCGTTTTTTCTGAATTTCTTGGGCTGGGTTGCATCCACTGGATGCGATCTTAAGGATCGGTCAAGCCTAAATACTTTGTATTTGTCAGGGAGCACATCATTACTGAGAATGGAATTTTTCAGCCATGTCTCGTTTAGAATAATGATGTGAGGCTTATGTTTGTATATATAACCATGGAATTCATGTATCTTGGTCATATTTAGTGGTGGTGTTCCTGATGCTAAATCGCGTGTATTTAGGAAACCATGGACATTATTGTAAACAACGGATAAATTTGGTCCAGGGTTCAGTAAGGAACAATTACAAATTACTATCAGGGAAATATTAAGGAGAGATAGAAAAACCAGACCACACCTAGACATGACCCCAAGCCAGCTGCTGGTTATACTGAAAAGTAACTTAACAGTCTGTTTCGGTGACATGGTAGGTGACAGTTTGGTTTTTGTGGTAGATAGCAATTTTACAGAAATTGCAGCTAAGGCTGTCCCAATGCCCCCCTCCCCCCTATACACAAGTTTAAAGTGTCTGAGAAAAATGGTACAAAATATTACCATAAAGTAAAGATTTATGGAAGACCTCAAACATGGTACAGAGTGTATTTTAGGTTGTAGGGGAGCACCAGGGAGTATATTAGCATCGATAGTCAAAGAAAATATATACAAAATAACATTAAAATAAAATATACCCAATAGAGCACATAACATGTGACGAGACAGAAGACAGGACAACAAATTTTCCCCGTTACCTCTATTACTTTTACTGATGATAACATACCTAGAAAACATACCAGTTGCAACACGGTGTTGTTGAGCCGATATTCCCATAGAACTTTAAAGTATATTATTAACAGAATTGTGTCTCGCCGTTGTGTTTTGTCAGGTATTGTGCTATAATATGAAGTAACATACATTATGCTATCACTTCGTTTGAATACATATAAATAACATCCAAATGATCAGATCCAATAGGATACTGATGCAGACAATGAAAAATTGAAATATTGAATTGGATTACCACATCAGTATCCCATTGGATTAAACCACTTTGAGTGTATGATTCTGAGATAGAACTTTGCCAACACTGGCATCCCAGCCTTGGGGCTGGGATGAATATCATAAAAGCCCCTATTGTCACACTTAGGAAATAATCTCTCGTTTCTGTTTCCATAGCGGTCTAAGAAAGCCCAAAAAACATCAAGGTAAAACAGTTTATGCCTAGAGCAGCGATCAAAGATCAAATTATTCATAGCACAAACATTACCAGGGATTTTCTCTTGTCCGTTGGGGTGGACTGGTGGAATAGCTTGTACAAAAACACGTGCATTTGGATAAAGTTTTTTTGCTGTCTTCATAATGTAAATAAATTATGACAATTATGTTAGTTATAGAATTTGTTTGTTTTTTAATGACGAAGGCTGTGAAATGTTCACAGTTCTGATAATGAGGAAATCAGAAAGAATGTTTAAAACTAGTGATGATGTTTATGTCATTATTCTTAATCTAATCTAATCTAATCATGAAAAAAAGTTAAGTAAAATGTATTTCATGCCCTTTTCATTGCTACTGTGAATGAATGAATACGTCAAATTTGTAACACATGCATGGATCAAATTGTTTGTAATTCAAAAATATAATTGAACTGTTACTTTCTTTCAAAAATGTTGTTTTCCCTACAACTTGAGTGTGCCGGGGGTTTCGACTTTGTGGATTATGGAATTAATTTTAAATACACTTAAACTTTCTGAGCAGACGGCGAAATCCCAGACTCTGGGATTCCAATCCCAGTGTACCTAATCTAGGGAGATCCGACCAAGGATCTGTTTGATCTATACGAAGTTATACATGTATGTAATGTCTCCTCTACTCGGTCAACAAAGCCGGATAATCAAAAAATCGTGATTGACGGTTAAATTGTAAGGAAAGAAATTTTTTTTGTAAATGAGGAGGGGCCTGCCAAAAGATCAATTATCCAACTAGCTAGGGTAACCCTTTGTGTTCAGTACATCTTCATTATAGTCTGCTGTAAACAAAGTACCATACTATGGACATAGTAGTACAAAAATTTCACATAGCCATGTGTCTACGCGTACTGCGTGACGCGCTTGTTTCACAACGCGCTACTGCAAGCGAGAGGGCTCTGGTTAGAGCAATACAAAAATTGATCGTTAGACTGATTATTTAACTGATTTGCATACATACATTATACAAACTGGTTAAGGTGCATAGTTCATGAAAGATAAATCTACTTCTTTCTTATATTGAACGTTTTGTCTTCCTTAACGTTGCTTTATAATTTATATTATATCTGAATTTTCAAATTCCAAAATCTTTCATGGACGATTATAGGAAAGAAATTTTTCCCTATAATCCGCAGCCCGATAGTGTACACTACAATGTACAAGTCGATTTACAAATAAATTTGACAATTTATTTGACCATTGTTAATGGTCTGGCCCAGTGCGCGCTACTTCGTAGCACTTGCCATCGGCGCGCGAGAAGAAAGCGGCGCGCGCTACTTCGAAGTAATTTAGACGAGTAACATCCGTCGATAATTTATTCGATAGTTTAGTTTATTTGATAAGTTGATCTTGATTCACGATGTCAATCCTTCGCATTTCGCCGATCTCTGTGGTTGCGAGAAGAATTATTTGATGCGCGGCGCGACCCAGTAGTGCATCGCGCTACAAAAGTTGATATTGATATTTAATATCGATATTTAATTGTTATTATTGAATGAAGCTAACTCCACACACAAATAATATTATTTTATAAACAAAGGGACTTGGAGTATTAACGACCAAGAATTTGCATAAATGTCTATCCAGCCAAGAATTCAGGAGGCAAGAGTGGGTGCGTAAACTTTACAGTCTGCACTTTCCGATTCTGTGTCACCCTCGATTCTTTTCGACGTATTTTCGTTCAAGCTAGAAGGTATATATACCTTGATTATTGATTATTTGATCCGCGCCGCGAATCAAATAATTCTACTCGCAACTCTGTACATGACACAGTAGATTGGCGAGATGCACCACTGGGCCTCGCCGAGCTGCGAATGATTGACATCGTGAATCAAATTTTTAGTCTGTAGTCACTTTCTTGCTTCTCCAAGATATCTGGTCTAAAGTTCGTGCTAGTTATTTACTTGATTGACGATGTCAATCCTTCGCATCTCGCCGATCTGTGGTTGCGAGAAGCATTATTTGATGCGCGCGCGACCCAGTAGTGCATCGCGCTACAAGTTATTTACATATATATTTTTTTCTGCTTTAATTGATACTAAATCAAATTGTTGTTGATCTCTTCTTGTGCTTTCGCGCCACTGTAATATAAACTGCGGGCGTACTTGTTTCACGGCGCTATTGCTTGCGCAAGGGCAAGGGCACTGGTTAGAGCAAGTCTCGATGCTTGTAGCAGAATTCAATAATTATACTATATACCCCACTTCTTGATACCACCTCATGAGATCAGAGCACGACCTGGTCGCTATCATATGGGAGGGATCGGTATCGTCAATCAATATCGATGCATTTAATCATATTGATATAAATAATAAAGAAATTGATTCGTGTAATATAGATTGAACATGTTCATTCTATTTTACTAACAGAATGTGTTTTACGGATCATTGTCCTTACTTCATTTGGTTACAGTTAATTTCCTACCACATTGTTTTTATACTTTATTAAACCTGGCTCACTACAGAATCACCTTTAAAAGAAACAAGTTATTTTAAATGGTTTTAACCAGTTTTCAGTATATCTGCAAGATCGATTTGGAATGCTTCAGTGAGGGCATTTTTTGATGTAAGGGTATTTCATGCCCCAGCCCCCTCCAATGCAAGCAAACCGATACCAGCAATGTACCTGTCCCATGAAAATGAGAAAAAGCGATGTTACAATGCAAGGGTTCTTGAAGTGAAGAAAGGAAGCTTCACACCTTTAGTGTTCTCGACTTCTGGTGGAATGGGCGGTGAAGCTGAGAGACTGGTCAAGAAGCTGGCCAGTAAGATGGAGTACCACACTGGCCAGAGGTACTCAGACGCTGTAGGATACATAAGAAAGCGCCTTCGCTTTGAAATCCTCAGAACAACAGTGATTTCTCTCCGTGGAGACAGAGGTGCGAGAAAAAACATTGTTGATATAAACAGTCTAGATCTTAACTTGGAGCCACAAGGCCAAGGGTAAAAAATTTTTGATTGTTAAGGGAATTTTTTGAATTCTTAAAGGGTTGATTTTATGTAGGGTCATTGCTATATTATGTGTATATTGTTTGAATATTTTATATCCTTTGTTTTCAGTATATCTAACCTTCAACTCTCCGTCTGGTTTGTACATTCCTACATTCTTGTGTACAAGCTTGTATTGCTTCATGCATGCCCAACTGTACATTTTTATTCTGCATTATTTCCATGCAGTCAAGAATGGGAATCCTTATAAGAGTTTAACGTTCCCCGACACTTCACCACACTTACATCAAATATCATTGGTGTGAATGTACTTTCATACACGTCGATAACCTTTGGACTGTAGTACCAGGAAAGGCATCTAATCCCGGCCCCTCTTGAAATCAGTAACCGACTCACTAGCTTTCACAAGTGGCGGTAGACTGTTCCAATAGCACAAGACCCTTTGAGCAAAGAAGTCAGTCTCATTTGTGGTAAATCTGTGTGACTTCGACTTCACCGTTGGCTTCTAAACGGTAATCATTGGATGGAATCCGCAAATCAGTAGTAATTAGGAACAATGTTTTTAAAAGTGGTGATGACGTTTATCAGCACTTTTCAAATCAAATTATATTGAGGCTTTTATGGTTTGGAGCCAGGGTTTTGGCAGGCTTTTAACCTTTAAAAACAGTTCCATCACGATTCATAATACTCAGTAAGTGTAGATTTATAAGTGTTGTAATAAGTTTGTGTCAGTGTCCTTGATTTGATTTGATTTGATTCGATTTTTTCATTCATTCGCATTGCAATCTGATAGATTAGATTCTCAATCCTCAGGAGCACCCTGATAGCGGTCAGGGGTGAGAGAGGGAGACGGCAATCGTATACATTGCCAGTCAGTGTAACTTCGTTTAACTTGATATCTGCCACCATGGACTATGAATGTTTCTAGACACTATCCTTTTGATATTGAGATATTGGTATCTCAGATCACGTGTACATCGTTCCTTTTTTTATGACACAGTAATTTATTGACACTCACAGCTATAATTTTAATCATTGAATCAGTATTTTTATCTATTAACTTATTACATATTTGTGCTCTGCTTTAGCATCACTTGACTATTAAAGTTCAGGCCATGACCTTATAGTCAGCCAATTGGCCATTGCTATATTATGTGTATATTGTTTGAATATTCCCACATATCTGATAGGAGTCTTTTGTATTATTTGTCAGGTTGCAGGTCTCTTCTTAGTCATGTGCGATCAATCCCTGTGGTGAACTAGAGTTCATTAAGATATACATCCTCGCAGTTGACCTGTCCTGAACTTGCTAAGGCCACCAGTACACTGAGATGGGTGTCTTCCATGGCTCAACTTAAGAACGCTTAAGAACCTTAGTTTTGCTAGGTCAAGTCTTGTTGAGGATAAAGTGAAGCAAAGTATGTACATTATACGGCCACGGTCATGTGACTCCCAGCTATTGATAATTTCCCCATTTCCTTCCTGTTTCTTACATTAGCCTTTAAACTAACGGTAAGTAACATTCGATGACTCCCTTTGGTTGAAGGATGTACTCTCCATTGTTGACTGTAGTCCAGGACTTCTTAATTTTGTCATGTTGTTTAGTCGGCTAAGTTGTGATTTGCATAATTTTTGATGACACATATGGGACAGTGTGTTTAAATCACTCATCCTCTTAACACTCAACACAAGTGTATGTTGTCCTCCTTTCTCGAGTTTAACTGCTTTGTGGCTATCCATATATTATAATGTATCATGTTTTGACATTGTCTAACTTAATCGGACATTTCAGGTAGTTGTGTGATGGATGGATGGATCCAAGGATCTCTAGCCCGTGTAAAACTGCAGAACTTTGTGACCTATGAATCAGTTGAATTTAAGACAGGCCCACATTTGAACATCATAATTGGTCCGAATGGCACTGGTAAAAGTTCTATTGTCTGTGCACTCTGTTTAGGCCTTGGTGGAAAGACTAATCTTCTTGGTAGAGCTAGAGAAGTCGGAGAATTTGTAAAACATGGAGCAGACCTAGCAATTATTGAACTGGAGCTGTATAACAAGGATGGCCTGAATTACACAATCAAAAGGATGATAACCCGTGACAATAAATCAGACTGGCAAATAAATAAGAAACCTGTTAATTTGAAAGAGGTCACTAGCCTGGCCAAAAAGTTAAACATTGATGTCAACAATTTGTGTCAGTTTCTTCCTCAAGATATGGTAGCAGAATTTGCTAAGATGACTCCTCCCCAGCTGTTAGAATCAACTGAGCGTGCTGTTGGTGGACAAGAACTTGTTGAACTTCATCACAAGCTTATCTCCCTCAAAAACGAGCACAAATCTATTATCACATCTCAAGCATCTAAGGAAGAATATTTGGATAAACTAATGAAGCGCAATGATTACCTTAAGGACATAGTCAGCAAGCATGAGGAAAGAAGCAACCATTTGAAAAAGATAGAAGTGTTGCAACTTAAACGACCTTGGCTTGTCTATGAAGTGGCAAGGATTAATTTTCAGAAACTTCGTGAGGGAAAACAGGCATTGCAGAATAGAGTCGAAGTTTTAAAAGATTCTGCCAAGCCTCTAGAGGACTTGTTAGAGGATAAACGCAATAAGCAGGTTGAGGTTGAAAATACAATCAAATTGATGACCAATGAATTGAACAAGATCAACTCTAATATCAAGTCTGTTGAGAGTTCTCTTAGTTCTAATAAAGAAAAACTAGATGAAATCCTTGAGGAGTACAACAGCAAAGTTGCTGAAACTGAAACCAGAACAACTAAAATAAATCAGCTCACCAATGAAGTTAATGCTTACAAAGCTGAGCTTCATGATTTGCAATCTGCTCAGGATCTTAAAGTTCGCCGTGATAGCCTTATCACAGAATGTAAAAGCATAGCAATAGAGTTGGGACAGCTTGAATCCACCCTCAATGAATTGACAATCGAAGAGCAGTCCAGAAAATCTAAGCACAGAGGCATAAATAATCAGATTCAGAAGCTTAATGACATCAGTAACCAGAAAATGGAAAATCTAAGAAGATATGAACGAGATACCTTTAATGCTGTTGAATGGCTCCGGCAAAATAAAGGGATGTTCCAGGGAGAAGTTTTAGAACCATTTCAGCTCATCATCAATGTGCCTAACACAGCAAATGCAAAGTACATTGAGAGCATAATTTCAAGGAATGATAGAAAAGCTTTTATATTTGAACGATCAGACGATTTAAACTTATTCATGAAGGAGCTTAGGGATAAACAGAAACTCAACATCAATGCTGTGATTGCCCCCAAAGAAGAAAACTTTCAATCTAACTTAGATGTAAACAAGCTGAAATCATTTGGTTTTCTTGGTTACTTGGTAGATTTTATTGAATGTCCACCTCTTGCTAAAAGATATCTCTGCAAGTACTATAGAATTCATACTGTTCCGATTGGCTCAGCAGCTGTTGATAAGCATATTGATAAGATCAACACAGTTATTACCCAAGGTAGGTCTTATTTTGCTTCTCAAAATATAATGTAGATTTTGATATCTGGTGACCAAATCAGTGATACTGATGTTTAATTAATAGACTAAAATTCAGCTTGATTCTCTAAACTATCAAATGAACTGAAACTTTATCTCGTACGAGGAACAATATTGTAACTTGCGAGCGTAAATAGTGTTATGTAAATCATCACAATTATTCCACTTCCAGGTCTGTACTTCACTCCAACTCATCGGTACCAGAACAGCAGATCAAGATACTCTAACGACACGATATCCTCTATCAGCCAGCTGAGAGGTGCTAAGATATTCAGTATGACAGTTGACACAAATCAGATCCAGAGGCTGCAAACAGAGCTGACAGCAATCCAACAGGAGTCTGATGAGGCAAAGACTCGCTACAATGAGGTAGGCTGTACATTGTAGTTTGTAACTAAAACTTTGATGCTTTTCTTTAGAAATTCGAATTAATTGTTAGAACACATTTTATTGTTACTTAATCATTACAGTCATTGATAATTTCTGCCGCCTTTCTAACTTGAGCCGACGTAGTCAATGCTACATAAATATTTACATGGTAGTCGTGATTTTGACTGGATTTGTTTCACCTTTAAGGGGTTTAAGTATTTGTCTACTTTTGTTCCTTTCTAAACCCAGCTTAATTCAAGGTTAAAGCCGAGCAAGAGCAGTTACGAATAAAAGATCAAACTCATCGAGATGAGAAAAACAAGATCCTCCACTTGATACGACACAGGGAAACAATCGATGACAAAATAAAGAACAGAGCGTTCAAGATTGCAGAGCTAGAAAACTCTTCCATCAACTTAGAGGAGGAGAAAGCTAAATGTGCCCAAAAGTCGCAGCAGATTTTGCTGAAATGTACTTCGCTACAGAAGAAAATGTACACTCTCTACATTGGCTTTGAATCGAAGCTAAACGAGAAAAACGAGACCACAATTCAGAAAATAGAGGTTTCTCTGGAAGTATCAGACGCCGAGGAACAACTTCAGTCCAGTACACAGGAACTGCAAGAGGCCAAGGAAAAGCTGGATAATCACACCGACCAGATCAAAAAACAGCGGGATCACGCAAGGGAATTGTTGGAGGAGGCTAAAGCTGCTTGTGGTCTCGACAGAGATAATCTTCCGAACAAATACAAGAATATGTTCAAACAGTAAGTAGACTTTAGAGCTTTTTGGGTGTCAGAGCTTTTGATTGATTCAAAATTCTGCTGTATCATCCGTCCTGCAATTTTCTGTCTATTGGTACATACTTTCATTACTGGCAAATACTGGTGGCTAAGTAAATCAGGACTTTACTAGCTAACACTGCCTGGTGACTAATAGTAAAACATCCCGCCAGGTATCCGTGTTCTGATGTAAACGATCTAGATCAGCAACTGAATGAAGCACGTGCTCTAGCTGAGTGCAGCAATGAAGTAGATCCTCAGGTAAGATCTTCTTTTTCAGAATTTCATCTTACATTAAATTTAGGTTTAACTTTCTGTTTCTATATAAAGATAATAATTTGTTTATAATTCTTTCATAAATTTGTTTATAATACCACTTTCAAAGAACAGTAATTTATTTCAGGTGATAACTGAGTATAAGAACAGGAAAAGGGAGATAGAAACCGAAGCTCAGGAAGTTGAAGTTAACCAAGAAAAACTCTCAGAATTCGACAAACAAATCAACGTTGTCCGTGAGAAGTGGTACGGTCCCGTCACCACGATCGTCGACCAGATCAACGGCAAATTCCGATCATTCTTCGCACGGCTGAAATGTGCTGGTGAAGTTATACTCTCAGAACACGAGGACTACGACAAGTGGGGTATCGACATCAGGGTCCAGTTCCGTAACAGTGACGACATGAAAAGACTTACCTCCTCATATCAGTCAGGCGGAGAGAAGTCCGTGTCTACAATTCTCTACCTACTTTCCCTGCAGGGGCTCACAGACTGTCCCTTCAGGGTGGTGGATGAGATAAACCAGGGTATGGATCCTAAGAATGAACGGAAGGTGTTCGAGATGATGGCCCACGCTGCCACCATAGCTGGAACATCTCAGTATTTCCTGATCACACCCAAATTGTTGCCCGACCTTGAATATAACGATAAGATGAATATTCTAAGTATTTTCAATGGTCTTGGTTTGGAGAATGCCAACGCTCTGGATGATTCGTTTGTTGTTGAAAAGGTGATTGAGAACAATCGCATAAGGATGTCTCAGTTGGTGCATTGATGTGTAGTTGACCAACACGTATTGCCCTGTAATTGATTTGTGATCTTTACCTCTGGTACCTATTTTTGAATTAATTCTCGGCAGACTGAGACATTGTTCACCTTTGATTGGAGCACTTTTGTTTTCTACTTTGTTTTTCCCCTTTCATGTCAGATATAATATTGTCTGCTACGGCAACTACCGCCGATTGACTGTATTTTATTTTTAATGTATTTAAATTTTACATAAATATTTTGTAAATTATGCTACAAGTTATGATGAAATTTCGTCAATTTTAATCATCACACAATTTTTATTCTGTTAATTCTTGTTTTATCTTTATGGCTGAAAGCAATGATATGATGTGTCGTTAGCATTTGAGTTTTATATCTCAGAAAAGAAATGCGAATATGCCCAATTTTACTAACTTTTATTAAATGTATTTTATGAATAATCGCATCACCATTCACCAAAGCTTTGGTGAGGAACTTGATTTGTTAATGACTGATTTTCTATTCGTATGTTATTGGGAATCAGGAAATTTGATCAAAATTGTTGTTACTGTATTATATTATCACAGTTAAGACGTTTTTATTTTCTGTTTGCATGCTCTATGCTATCTTTAATTACCCTTTGTTTTTGGTAACTTCTGAAAATAACAAATTTAACTCTCAGTATAGCTCAAGATGGTGTCTCCCCTCGTCAAACCCAGGATCGTCAAAAAGAGAACAAAGAGGTTCATCAGGCATCAGTCCGACAGGTACTCCAAGCTCTCCAAGAGCAGCTGGAGGAAACCCAAGGGAATTGACAACAGGGTCAGGAGACGTTTCAAGGGACAGTTCTTGATGCCCAGCATCGGATATGGCTCCAACAAGAACACAAGGCACCTCATGCCCGACGGTTTCCTTAAATTCGTCGTTCACAACGTACCAGATCTCGAACTTCTGTTGATGCAGAACAAGAAATACGCAGCAGAGATTGCCCATGATGTCAGCGCCAAGAAGAGGAAAGATATCGTCGAGCGAGCACAACAGCTTAACATCAAAGTCACCAACTGGCAAGCAAAATTGAGATCCGAAGAAGATAATTAAATTTATTAAGTTATTTTTTATCTATCAAAGTTGCTTGGTTTTATTTAAGAGTTAAAGTTGTTGATAAATATATTTGCGGTACAACAAGAATTGACCACCAATTCTCGATCTTCTCATCTCAATGATATTTCAAAGTATGGTGTGTTTACTAAGAATGTAAGGGATTTAAAAGCAGATTAGACATATAATTTTAACCTACTAAATAGCAACAAACCTCCCCAAAGGTCCCATGATGTTATAGAGCACCTGACACTAAGGTGTAATCTGTAGAATGTAAAGATGATGAGTGATGACCACCACCACCCCATCTGAGCTCAATGAGGAAGACCTAGTACATTTCAACCTCGGAGCATCAGATCCGTGGGATGACGAGAACGACGACTACCCCGAGGTTATCTTCCACAAGGTTCCCAGCGCTGACATTGTCTACGAGACCACCCCTCAAATCCCCAAGTTTGTCGGGAAGTATCTGCTGGGTGACGCACTAGGGGAGGGCAGTTATGCGCGGGTGAGATATGGAGGTATTATTGTTGTTCTCTTAATTGTGACGCTAGCAACTGAACATTCTACCACCACGTCATCTGCAGGATTATAGTGTGACACGGTGATTGTGTACTTTTATAGCGCTCCTTCTCAACTCTGCTGACTTCACTGGAATCTTCTAGAGTCAGATAAAATCCGTGTGTCACGCTACATTACCTGCATATTAGTTCAGGTGTCGGTTTGTTTGTCTGTTCTATCATGAAGTTGCTAGTGTGACAATCTCGAATGAAAGCTTTCCTTGAAATAACATCTTTAACATCATTGAATATTCTATATTAATACGCGTCTTTACTCTTGGATCTTTTTCTATCCATGTTTTTAGACGTGAGAGTGTTTCTTTCATGGAAATTATTCGCCAAATCATGTATTAAAATACTTAAGTTATTTTGGTAATCAGTTAGATGGTCCTGCATAGTGGAACAATCTTTGCAGCTGAATCTATTTTTACATAAATCCACTCTTTTAATTCTCGCCCCCGATGTTTTAACTATGGGAGACTAATTCAAATAGTAGTTGTTTATACGTGCACGAGTTGCTTTTCCAATTGGTTAATTTGTACTTCTCCGAATTCTCAATACAAATGCAGCTAACAAAGCCGCGCCCAACCCTGTAAGTGATCACAAATTATTAAAAGACTCCCTCATAAATCAGTCAAATTTTAGTCAATCCATCAAACCACTATGCAGCAAAAAGTATAGAATTCCTAAAATCATCGAAGCTCTAACCAATCAATTCAAAAAATGTTGGCAATATCAAAAATCTACTTCTTCTAAACTTTCATTCTATCACTCAATCAAACACACCTTCAACCGAGAGCCCTACTTATACTTATGCAAAGGCTTTTCTCGTCGTTACAGTACCACAAAACTTAGAATCAGCGCACATGATCTCCATATTGAAAGAGGCAGATACTCCAACACACCCCGTGAGCAAAGACTATGTGGTTGGTGCCAATCAAGTATGGGCGTTGAGACCATCGAAGACGAGTCGCATGTTCTTTACATATGTGACTTGTATTCAAAACAGAGGTCGAAATTAGTCAAAAATCTTTCTCAAATGCCAATCATTGAAATAAGCAATGAAATCACCGACTCCAGCAATATAAATGAAACAAATCTCAAAGATCATCTCATGGAAATTTTGTCTCCTTACTCAACTGTAATTCCTCAAAATCACCAGAGCCTCCATATTCACTGCCACCGCTCACTTGATATTCAACCAAACACCCCACAGTATATTCAATTTCAAGAAAGGCGCTCCTATGCTGTCAACTGTGTGTGCACTTTTTTCCTTCGCTGCTCCGAAGAGCGAAATAGCTTCACTGAAGATACGCGTCAGCGTAATTCAAATGCACGAAACTTAAACAATTTTACTATCAATTTGGTGAGAACCTCGCGAATTAGTCATAATTAAGACTCAAGGATAACCCTGGCCCTGACTTCAAGCAAAGATGATTGTTTTCATTAACTTCTGTAAACAATTATGACGGTCCATGATAATTGATAATGGATCTATAATTTAATTTTAATCCTGTGTAATCCTGTGTAATCCCAGGTTAAAGAAGCTCTCGATACTGAGACAGTACGTCGAGCTGCTGTGAAGATTATGAAGAAGAAGAAACTGAAGAAGATACCTTCTGGTGAAGAGAATATGAAGCGTGAAATCAGTTTATTGCAGGTACAGTAAAACCCTGATTTACCGTGACCCGATTTACGGCAAATCACAATTTACTGCGGCCATATTCACCCATTTTACACCACATCGCTGGTAAAGAGTTATCAAATATAACAAAGCACAAGTTCTATGGATTTCATTTCCATGTCAATACCCGCCAGCTAAAAACCTTTTTCTTCAGAAACTGTCTAAAAATCCACATCCCAATATTATTGAGTTGTACGATGTCCACTACAAAGTTGAAAAAGAGAAAACGTATCTCTTTATGACATTCTGCTGTTGCTCATTACAGGTATTGTAGCTGGTTACAAGTACACTTTTTACCCTTCGTACTGTATCAAATTACCAAATTATACCATTCCTTTTCTAGTAACTACATTCTCAAAGTTATTTATTTACTTCCTTAAAAATCAATCTCTTGCAATCAAACTGGAAATCACAAATTTAAATTAAAGATGACATCCTCTCAGGACATGTTGGATGACAGTGAGGAGAAGAAGTTCCCTCTGTGGCAGGCTCACAAGTACATTTACCAAACATTCCAGGGACTCCATTACTTGCATTCCAGACATATCATACACAAGGACATTAAACCTGCTAACCTGCTGCTGGATCCATCTCACACTGTAAGTTTAATTCTGTAAGTTGAGTTCATCATAATATAATGTGTCAGTTTGACTGTAAGTTAATCTCATGATGTGTGTCAGTTTGACTTAAAGTTAATCTCATGATGTGTGTTAGTTTGACTGTAAGTTAATCTCATGATGTGTGTCAGTTTGATTCCAGTTTAATTTTGATACAGAGTTCGGCCGCTTCTTTCATTAATTTTCTGGACATGGTCAGCTGTCAAGAAGAGGCTATCAATATTGAACAGAAGCTGGAAAGTTTTTTTAGGAACCTTCAACCTGTCCGGTGTCAAATCAAAACGTTTCCTCGTACGCTACTTACAAAACCCTTCTCCCAGGTAAAAATCTGTGATTTCGGTGTGGCAGAGGAGTTAGACCCCTTTTCTCAAGCGGACACAATAAAAGGAAGCCAGGGAGCTCCCATGTTCATTGCTCCGGAGATAGCTGTTGGGAAAGACGTGTTCTCCGGCCAGAAACTTGATGTTTGGTCTGCAGGTGTTAGTCTGTATAACTTTGTGACGGGAAATTACCCCTTCAACGCGGATAATGTATTCAAATTGTACAGAAAGATCGGAGAGGGGAAATACATTATACCTGATTACTTACCGGAGAGTCTGAAGAATTTATTAGAGGTATACCGTAATTATTGCTTTATATAAATTATTGCTTGATATAAATTATTGTTTGGTATTAAACCTATTAAACCTATCGTACATCTGTGTGTGCTACATTTACGGGTAAATGTCATGTTAACACTGACTATTTCGCTTTTGACTTTTACCTTTAATAAAGTAAAAAGTATAATGTATACTTTGTATAGTGAGCAACTCTGTATCCGCCCTTATTAACTGCAGGGTATGCTACAATACGAGTTTGAGAACAGGCTTAGTTCCCACGATTGTTTGAATCATCCCTGGATCACAAGAAAACAAAACAGGTCTTACGATGAGGTGCAGATTCCCAACAACATTGCAGAGGTAAATAGTTGCTGATCAAATTCTCGTTTAACTTTAGATCCAAATAGTTTCGTTTCAAAGGGTCGTAATATATACCTTACATAAAAAAAAGTTAAAACAGTAAACTGCAACAGCTACCACCACCCCAGGAATCCACCCTTATCCAGTATCTAGACCAGCTACACCTAGAAGAGGGAGACATCAGTCTACCAGGTCACCCTACAGCCCCACCTACCTCCTCCCTGCAGACCAGCTCTGATGACATCCTCTCTTCGGATCAGCGTCTGGTGGGTGATATGCTGGAAGTATCCGATAGCAGGTCCAGTAGATCGGGCAGTTTTGTTAACAGTATGAAGGGTTGCAAGCAACAGTGAGCCGGGACTTGCGGAGTATTCTCGTTACATGTTATCGTAGTTGTTATGGATTGTTATGATGGTTTTGTTCAGTTGTCAGAAATATCAGTTTGCTTGAAATGTTATCACATCAGTAATGGATCCCTTACTCAGTTTGCAGGGATAGAATAATGCTTGTGTATTCTCGATGTGTGTTCGTGCAAGTCTTGATAAGTTGATATGGGTACAGTTTACTTATAGATAGTAGACTATCGATTATCATTTCACGTTGAAGCCTGGTTTAAGGCAGAATTTTGCTATATTTTTGTGTAAATTTGTATTGTAAAATAACCGCATGAATACAGTGTATCATAGTTTCTTATCGTTTCCATTTATATATAATGTACGGGTTGGTGATAGGCGTACATTTCTTCCCACATTTTTACAGTTTGCTTATCAAAGACATGATCTCTCAGAATTTTTCACTTTTTAACTTGTGATAAGAATTTATTATTCGATTGGACGTTTCAGTTTATTAGTTGCATCAACACTTTCATTGCATATTACCCTTGGTTTATCATATGATATAATTTGTTAAGTTTTAATCATTTGAATTGCTTCATCTGTTTGACTAAATGACGTTCTGGCACTATTCTCTTTATTAATGCGTGTGAAATGGCAATATTTTACGCGCCTTTCAAAAGGGTCTTCTGATTTTACTCTTTTTGTGGCGTGCTAATTCAATGCAAACATTTTAACGAACAAATGTGCGCGCGCACGAGCGTCCTAATAAAAGCGCCATGGAATATAGGTTTGGGTACCACCAATAAATCTAATCAACCTCCTTTTAGCCGATGTCTAAGGACCAACAAGATAGGCTCTCGTTTGCCATCTTGCAGCACTTCGATGACCTAATCAGCAGTAAGGCCGTCGACGGTGAAGCGGCCGAAAGTATGGCAGGTTTGAGAAGGTTTTAGCCGTTTTATTCATTTTGGATCCGAGTAATTATAGCTAGTTCAGGATTTCATCGTTTTTATTTTTGAAATTCCAATTTTACACAGAAGCTGCCTATATCATGACATTGTTAATACACTTCGTCCAATTTCTTTATTTAAATTCCACCATACTTTTCAGTCGCAGCACAGTGTTTGACTGAGGCGCTCGGCGTAGATGTGAAAGATCCAGAGCATGCCTCCAGATTGAAAGTAGATCAGACACTGCAAGATGTATTCGATGGAGTATTCCCACCTCGTCCCACCAAGAAAGCTGCTACTAAAGACGAGGAAGCCAAGGCTAACGATTTGAAGGACGAAGGTTTGGATTGTACACAGTTTTTCCACGTATTACACACATTCCAAACCGAAACACCTGAAATTTAGTTGTGTGACCTTCGCATTGTAGTCTGTCTAGCATTGATCCTGTATCTTTGATTTATCACATAGGTAGAATCAGGTTTTTTACAGGAAACGATCTCATGAAACAGAACAAATACGAGGAAGCTATCGAAAAGTATTCTGAAGCTATCGAAGTTGTTCCGGTGGCTACATATTTCTGCAACAGAGCTGCCGCCTATTCCAAGGTTAGCCTTCTAACTTGCTACTCTGAATTAAGGAAATACCATCGATTCCACTAATTTTACCTTGTATACGCAATACAATTAAAAAATTATACACTAATCCATAACCCATCTTTAGTTAGCTCAACACGAAAGTGCAGTAAAAGACGCCGAAGATGCTTTAGTTTTGGACGCCGGGTACAGCAAAGCTTATGCCAGGATGGGATTTGCTTATCTGAACATGAACAAACTACCTGAGGCTGAGGATGCGTATAGTAATGCTTTGAGACTTGATTCCGGCAACCAAAGTTATAAGGACAATTTAGATGCTGTGAAAGAGAAGATTAGTGCTGGACCCAATGTTATGGCACAGGGTGAGTCCCAGAAATGTTCATAATCGAAATGTATTTGCGGTGAATATGAAATAAGTCTTGCAGAAGTAAATACTTAAGGGTTTTACATTCACGACTTCACGTTTTGACTTCGGTACTACTACGCTTTTAAGATTACATTTCCCACATCCATGTTACCAGGAACCTAACCGAATCGTGCCTTTCAGCCCCAATGGGAGGAATGCCAGCAATGCCTGGTATGCCCGGTATGCCCGGCATGCCCAACTTGGCAGGCATGGACTTCTCTCAAATCCTCAACAACCCTGCATTCATGAACATGGCTCAGCAGTTCATGACCGACCCTAACATGCAACAAGCTTTCACTTCTATGGCAGATCAGTTCATGCAAGGTGGAGGTGTCGGAGGTGGAGAAACTTTAGGACCTAGTGGGGTCCCTGAGAACATTGATATCAACGCTATGTTGGGGAAGTAAGTATATTTAGGTGAAAAATGCAGGACTATCTTTGAAAAAATATACAAAAAAAGATATTCATCTTTCGTTGTATGGCATATTGAAACTTACGAACATCTACATAAGTGTTTAGCAGCCCAATAGCTCGCATATTGTTACTAAAAAACTTTCTTTCAGCCCAGCGTTACGATCCATGGCAGAAAATTTCGAAGCTCAGAACCCACAAATGATGGATCAACTAAGGAATCAATTCCGACGACCGGAAGACGACACCGAGCCTCCTCCAAATCCGTAAACGCCAGACTTCTTACGTCCTTTAGCTTTATTTTTTGTAATCTTCCCTTATAATTTGAAGAGTTCCTAGCCTGGGGAAGAAACTTATTTTGCAGTTGCAGTTTTTCGATTAAAATATATTCGAAAATGGTTTAATAGCTCGCTCACGCCTTTTAGGCCTACTGTAGCTGGGAAAATTTATCTTTTGCCACAAATTTCTTTTTTTGTAACTAAAATGTCTTTTGTAATAGATGTCTTCAGTTTTATTTTGAGACCTTGCTGCATGTTTCACGTGCATGAACAGAAGCATTCTATTTGTTGACTGAAATCTACAAAATGTACGAAAGAAATATTGTTGATAATATAATGTGTGTAAATTATTGATATTTCGATACGATTTCTGGTTTTGAGAAGCTTAATTGTATTCTGTTTCCTTAAAATTATACAATCTAATTTCATATTTGTATTAATTGAAGATTAATTTTATTTACTAACCATCCATTATATCAGTTAGAATGCCGAGAGTTAACATAAAGGGCGGTGTTTGGAAAAACACCGAAGATGAAATCCTCAAAGCAGCCGTCATGAAGTACGGCAAGAACCAGTGGTCCAGAATAGCATCGCTTCTTCATCGTAAGTCAGCTAAACAGTGCAAAGCGAGATGGTACGAGTGGCTGGATCCAAGCATCAAGAAAACAGAATGGTCACGCGAGGAAGAAGAGAAATTGCTTCACTTGGCTAAACTTATGCCAACTCAGTGGCGAACTATAGCTCCGCTAGTGGGCCGAACCGCAGCTCAGTGTTTGGAACATTACGACTACTTGTTGAGGGAAGCTCAGAGGAAGGATGGTGATGTTGATGACGATGCTCACAGGTTGAGACCTGGGGAGATAGATCCTGCTCCGGAGACTAAACCCGCTCGTCCTGATCCTATTGATATGGACGAAGATGAAAAAGAAATGTTGGCCGAGGCCAGGGCGAGATTAGCTAACACACAGGGAAAGAAGGCAAAGAGGAAAGCTCGAGAGAAGCAGTTGGAAGAAGCTAGAAGATTAGCGACATTGCAGAAGAGGCGTGAGTTACAAGCTGCTGGGATTGAGGTTAGGAAGAGACGATTGAGAAAAGGCCTCATCGATTACAATGCCGAAATTCCCTTTGAGAAGAAACCAGCTCTAGGATTTTATGATACGTCTGCCGAGACAATTGATGTCTCGGATCCTAACTACAAGAAACTCCGTCTACACGAATTAGATGAGAAAAGGAGAGACGAAGAAGAACAGAGGAATCGACACAAGGACAAGGATAAGTTGACAAAACGCCAAGAAGGAGATGCTCCCGGTGCAGTTCGACAGCTCAACCAAATGAACATGATCAACCCAGGCAGAAAGCGATCTAAATTGGTCCTTCCTTCTCCTCAGATCACTGAGTCGGAACTAGAGGAAGTGGTGAAAATGGGTAGAACCAGCGAGAACATAGCAGCTGAGGCAAGCGCGGCTGGATCTGGAGCCTCGAACATGCTCCTCTCAAACTACACCTTCAGCACTCCTGCAGCGGGTTCCAACGCGGGTTTGAGAACTCCGCGGACTCCAGCCACAACCACCAGCATCATGGCGGAAGCAGCAAACATGCTGGCTCTCACCAATGTAGAAACTCCTCTAAAGGGCGGCACTAACACTGCTCTCCAGGACATTGACTTTAGTGGTGCAACCCCTGCCTCCAAAGTGGTGGCTACCCCTAACACAGTTCTTGGAACTCCAGTAGACAGTAGCGACTTCAACGCTACTCCTCGAGTGAACGGCTCTCAAACCCCCATGTCAGTTCGAGATCAGTTGAGTATCAACACTAACGGAAGTGAAACCCCGCTGCTCAACGGAACGTCAAAACTCAGCTTAAAAGAAAGTCTGACCAACCTGCCCAAACCGCAGAACGATTTCGAGATAGCATTACCCGAGGAAGAGGGGGAGGTAGAGCTTGAAGAAAAAAAGAGGAGCCTGATAGAAGACCAGCAGGACCTGGATGAGATGACGGTAGAGGAGAGACGTCGTGCTGCTCAGGAGAAGTGGAAACGTGAGAACCAGGTGATTCAGCGAGCTCTGCCCCGACCAGGTGGCATTAACACTAGCATATTGAGGAGCAACCTTGGAGATTTCCAGCTAACTGCCCTCCAGACCGCAGAAGAGAAGATCAAAGAAGAGATGGTTCTTCTTTTGAAATATGACTCCAAGAAACACCCTCTGGGAAACAAACCTCCCCCATCCGGCAACCAGCCAGAACTCCCCATCTACACAGACGAGGAACTAGAAAGGTCACGCGACCTGCTGAAGAAGGAGGTCGAGACTGTGAAGAAGGGGATGAATCACGGAGATCTAACTATTGACGCCTACTCTCAAGTCTGGGAGGAGTGTTACAGAGAGGTCATGTTCAATGTTGGTCAGAGCAAATACACCCGGGCTTCTATGTCTAGTAAGAAAGATAGGATTGAGTTCCTGGAGAAAGCGTTGGATGTCAACCGACAGTTGATGACAAGAGAGGCAAAACAAGCAGCTAAAATCGAGAAGAAATTGAAGGTCATTCTGGGAGGTTACCAGGCGAAAGGCATGGCTCTTTCTAAACAAATCGAGGAGATTAACGATCAACTGGACACGGTGTCGGTTGAAGATGTAACTTATTCAAAGTTACGTGAAGCAGAACAGTCTATCATACCCTACAGATTACAAAAACTTCAAGATCATTTACAGCGTCAGACTGAGAGAGAAAAGAGTCTTCAGGAAAAGTTCAAATCATTGTTAGATCAGAGAAAAGAGTTGACTATTGATATCGCGAAACTCGGTATTTCTGCACTGTGAGATGATTCATGAGGACGAATTGAGTGTTCATAAAATTTTTATATCAGAAAAGATGGTTTTGAGATGCTGGCTTTTTCTCTATTTATAATGTTTATGTATCGATTGTACCTTTTATCCGTGTAGAGAAAGTCTCAAGACTATAACTCTACGGTTATTCCAACCATACTGCCGCGCTTTTGGCCGATCGAAATTTACAAGCTGGCTACATTACATATTGTATTTTTGTAAATAAAGATTCAGTATATTCTCAACTATTCTTATCAAGTTTAAATAATTGTCTTAAGTCATTACTCTTTACTGTTTAATACATTGTGTGTGATTTGAACTTTATATATCAGCGGATATACGTAATTTGTAAGGCGGGCACTTTTCAAATGATTTGTTTCCATCGCATCAGTAAAAACTTATTGATTGCTCTTCTCAGTGCCTTCTTTATTTGTATTAGGTTACCAAATGTCAATTCTAACAATATTCTACATATTTTTAAACCGAATTCAGACACAACCGTAGTGCACCGATTTGAAATTGGTCTTTGGCTTTCTTAAGTTTCTTTCTTTAACCAAGTGTCAACTATTGAATTGGTTGTTAAATGTAACCGAAATCTGATTGGTTGCACTATCATAACACATCATCCTGAAGTCTCCTGGGTTAACACTCACCAAAGGCCATTTTCAAATCGGTCCACTATAATGCCTGCATATTGATACAAAATTTCGTTGACTTTGGTAATCTAGGTTATTTTATTACCATAATTAATTGATTAAATGAATTTTATTATGTTACCTATACCATTTGTTTTTCATTTTCGAGTCCTGCTGCAAGTCATAAGTATGAAAATTTGTGTAATATATTGTGATATACTGATTATCATTACATTTTAAATGATTAAGTTTTAATAATTTGTTCAGCAAAAAGATTTCAAATAATCCAAATCTAACCGTGAATTTTTCCCTCCCTAGCCTCAGACATGGCTACAATCAGGACCCGAAAATTCATCACAAACCGTATCCTGAACAGAAGGCAGATGGTAGTTGACATCATACACCCTGGTAAGGCGAACCTCAGCAAAGAGGAGCTGAAAGAGAAGCTTGCCACCATGTACAGAACGACCGCTGACGTGGTCATGCCTTTCGGCTTCAGAACCGACTTCGGTGGCGGTCGATCCACTGGATTTGCTCTTATCTACGATAACGCAGATTCCATGAACAAGATCGAGCCAACTTATAGGTTAGCAAGGTTCCAGCCTAAGAAAGATAAGACCGGAGGTAGAAGACAGAGGAAGGAATTGAAGAACCGAAAGAAGAAGGTGTCTGGAAAGAAGAAGACCGAATTAGGATCCTGTAAACGAAACAAAGCTTAACTTTTATCAATGATTTAGCGGTTTTTATTTATTGACCTTTCAGTCTTATTCGCGTTCAAAGTTATTCAAGATTTCTCTTTTCTATTTTAAAACACTATGAAAATTACTTTATTTAAATGTAATCTTACTTAAGATTTGTCCATGTGTAATCCCGATGGCCCTACCTTCTGTATACCTTCTGTATACGTTTAACCAACTTCCACACTAGACATGGATAATGAGTTTGATAAGCCCGCCAAAGGACCTGGTTTCAAGATGTCAGAGGGAGATTGGACTTGTGACGAAGAAGGGTGAGCAAAGGGGGTTTTGAGAATAAGATTGAGATATTTGTAGTTTGTTATTCTTCATGATTTTAACGGTCCTAGCATAAACAATAAAACTGTTCTTGTTGTAACTCCTAAACTGTCCTTTGCAATTTCAAGTATAACTGTATCTTTTCTCAGATGTGGCAATATAAATTACGCTCGAAGAACAGAATGTAACAGATGTAAAGCCCCAAAACCTGTCGGCAAATCTAAAGTGAAAGTTGGTGGTATCCAAATCGGGAAACAGTTGGCAGAGAAGAGCAAGGGACTGTTCTCGGCAGACGACTGGCAGTGTACCACTTGTGGGAATGTTAACTGGGCTCGCAGATCAGGTAAAAAATATATTTATATGTGTCAGCATGCTGAATTACCAAGTGTTCAACTTGCCGGATGTCTCCGGACACCTCTCAGTCCGGACAGTCTAACTCTGTAAGATTAAAATTGTTTATCAACCAGCATCACCATAACACTATTTTCTTCAGATTGCAACATCTGTCACGCCCCCAAGTTTGGTAAGATAGAGGAGAGAACAGGAGCAGGAGGCGGGTTTAATGAGAGAGGAGAGATCGAGTACAATGATAAAGTTGAGAGTGATGGCGAATATGACGACGTGAGTTGCTTTGAAATCCTTTTAATTCCTGTTAACAACTTTTTCAAAGTGATTTTGTTATTTTAGCACAAAACGTACATGACTGGTGCACCTTCACCAGTTCAGTCAGCTTCCCAAATTATCCTAAGTGATAACACGAACTCTCTTCAGTTTGGTAGGAAGCGCAGAAGGAAGAGCTCTGCGACCACCCCCACCACTGCAGAGCTATCAGATCCTCTGCCCCCAGCCGCTGAGGAAGAATCTGGGGAGGAGGAAGATATGTCCCGGTACGCTCTGGACGACAGCGATGAGGAGGAGGAGGAAGGGGGTGAAAGGTAAGGTACCCTCGCCAACAGGTACAGATCTTTCTTTAATTTCACTTTATCTCTGAAGCTGTGGAGATCAAGATATTTAACCTCGAGTTTACGTTTTACGTTCCCAGCCTGCGTTTTTTGTATCCCATGCTTTTAAGTTAGAACTTTTAAAGAACACAGCTTGATCTTACTAAGTTTGGTTTTTTGTTGTCGTAACGTTATTCAAACCTTAGTTCCTCTGAAGATGAAGTAAAGAAAGCTAAGATTAAACCTGCGTCAGCTGGTAGAAAGTCCTCTTCAAGAAGCCGATCAAGAAGCCGGTTTGTAGTTAGTTTTTGTTCTTCAGATCATCAGTAAAACGGAAGACATCTAGAGCATTTGAAGGAATGTTAATGAATAATTTCAAATTTACTTTATTGCTTTTGGTATTATGTTACTTAGTAAGTTTCTTAATAAACTTTTTTCTTCAGATCTGCGAATGGGAAAAAGTCCCTGAGTAAGAGTGTCAGTCGAGAAAGGAGCACCGAAAAATCACGAAGTAGATCAAACAGCAGAAGCAAAACTAGCAGGAGCAAAACTAGCAGAAGCAAGACTAGCAGAAGCAAAACTAGCAGAAGCAAAACTAGCTCTCGCAGTAGATCCCGGTCCAGGAATCGCTCCAAGAAAACAAGTGGATCCAAATCCCGGGAACGAACCCGCAAGATCAGTCGACACAGCACCCGTTCCCGCTCGGTAGATCGGTCCCGAAAGAAGAGCATGTCTCGTTCAAGAAACAGCTCCCGAAGAAGCAGCAAACGTCGCTCCTGCAGCCGTCCTAAAAGCAAGTCAAACAAACAATCCCGGAGAAATTCAAGCCGAGAAAACCGGCACCAGCGCAAAAGAAAACCTTCTTCATCGTCCTCTAGCAGTAGTTCTAGCTCTGACGACAGCAGTCCGAAGAGACAAAAACGGGACAAGAAGAGACGGAGAAGCTCCAGCCGATCTTCCTGACGGTTCGGTATGGTAGGTGGTGCGAGTTACCTCGAACCACGGCAATTCTTGCGTCCCTCGTTTTTATGTCGGCTGATCTTCATTTAATTCTGAAACATTGATGGAAATATTGTGTACAAAGTTTAAACCGTTAACCATGTTCTATTCTCAGGTTCTAATCAGGTTTGAGTGGGAACCCCTTCTTTTGTGAAATTGAATGTTTTAAGCTGCTTTGCTTTGTTTTTTTCTTACTATCATCAATCATGCGACTAATGCATGAATTTACAAAATTTGCTGTCCATTATTTTTGACATTTCATCAAAAATTCTGGTCCTCGCGAAGATTTTCAAGTATCGAAGCGATGGTTAAAACCATAATGTTCAGGACATTCAGGTAGTTGCCGTGTCTTGTGACAAATGAGAAGACAATATCATCTCCTACCAAAGGAAAAAGAGACTGAGAATGTAAGAGGTCGAATTTATATTCAAGTCCCTACTGAGGGTGTCAAATCATATCAAAGATCAAAAGATCAGACACTTTCCATGATTTTCAGGAAGCTTTAATATAATTGCGGCACATTAGTGATTCAACATTTAAACTTATCATTTCACGCCAAATAATTTACTATAACTGCTTGTTTTTATTCATTTTACAAGTAATAATTCGTAAACTGAATTCCACAGTAATCAGATTTTGGTGAATTTAAATAAATATATATATATATATATATTACGTTAATTCTTGATTTTCAGTCAACTGTTTATGCGAAGTTTAAATCTTTAATTGTGTTAATATTGTTCTTTCACTTGCCCCCAGTAAAAGTTGGGTATAGTATAATTGGTATCATGCAATCAATTAATGAGGAGTTATCGAAATTTTATCAACTTGTAATTCTTAATACTTTCATTGTCAAATGCATATTATATTATTGTGAAACAGACATTCAAGTATACTAATCTTAATATCCGTAGCACTTAGCTAAGCTCTAAACATGGCTCCAAGAAAAGGAAAGGTTGCCAAGGAGGAGACGAACATCTCCCTCGGACCAACAGTCAAAGACGGAGAAGAAGTTTTCGGAGTTGCTCACATTTTCGCCTCATTCAACGACACCTTCGTGCACGTGACTGACTTGTCCGGCAAAGAAACCTTGGTCCGAGTTACCGGTGGAATGAAAGTGAAGGCAGACAGAGACGAATCCTCTCCCTACGCTGCTATGTTGGCCGCCCAAGACGTCGCTGAAAGGTGTCGTGTTCTGAAAATCTCAGCTCTTCATATCAAACTGAGGGCGACTGGTGGCAACAAATCAAAGACCCCCGGACCCGGAGCCCAGAATGCCCTCCGAGCACTCGCTCGATCTGGCATGAAGATCGGCAGAATAGAGGATGTCACCCCCATTCCCACTGATAGTACCAGAAGGAAGGGAGGACGAAGAGGTCGTCGTTTGTAGATTCTTGTCGGGTTTTTATGAATTTTATTTATTCCTGTGACTTATTGTGTTTATTTTGTACATTTTATGAGAAGTATAAATCGATCTTCAATCTTCAAGACTACACTTGTTAAATGTCAATCTGAAATTAAGAAAATTATACAAAATTATTTCAAAATGATCGGTTTATAATTAAAAAGGAATGCAAGCAAACAATTTCTAACGTGCTCAAAATTAAGCTCAGTATGTAAAAGCTTGTTAGCGGAAGAAACGGTTTGGATGTAGATGATGGCTAACTTAAATCTAGGTACGATCTTGTTTGTTTCCAATTAATTCTCATGCCGCATTCAAAATCATGCTCCTTGCATTAGTTCTTTCCCGACACGTTAAGTGCGGAATTCTGAATAAATATCTAGGTTCAATGATTACTCTTGTCGCCCCAGTCTGAACAATCCTGTGGACGTGACTTTTTAGAATGAGAACCCTAAAACGCTCCTGAATGTAGTTTTTGAGATTAGAACTCCGAACTGAGCACCAATTCCTCAGATAACGGTTTAGGAGAGCTAGACACGGAGCTGGACAGCTTCCTGGCGGAGATAGACGATATAGAACAGAGCAAACTTGAGGAGCTGCCTGAGGAGCCCAACTGTATCATTTGGAGAGAGTGTCTGGATGAGACGACCAAACATCCTTACTACTGGCACACCGAGACTCAGGAAGTTACTTGGGTGAGTTAACTAATCTCTCTGTCAGTGGTCGTCCGTCACGACTCACGGTTACCTTTTCATGTTTTTGTCAAGTCGGTACTCTATTTTCTAAGGTTGGGCACAAAACGGGGTGGAGGGAAAGGAGAGGGGAGGGGAACAGGAGTCTACAGTTTGTTAACCATTTTAAAGTACATAACACAGTTTCCTGTTATTAAAACGCTTCTCCTCAAGGTAAAACCAGAGTCTTACGAAAGCGACTTGATAGCACAGGAAACCGCTCTTAAACAGTGGAGGAAGAAATGCGGCGAGATCAAAAAGATTAACGAGACACGGACCAAAGCTGCCGAAGAAAGGAAGAAGCTAGCTGAATCTCAGCCTAAACCCACACTGCCGCGTATCACCCCTCGGGTTGAACTTGAAAACGATCCCGAAAGGATAACGTCAGATAATCCATCAGGCAGCTTTGGTAAAATAGGAAAATTCAAATTCATGAAAAGTGAAGCCGAACAAAAAGTCTCATCAGCGACAAAGTCATCAGCACGCCTTACCTTCACCGTGAAGAAAGCCTCGTCCCCTGCTCCTGAAGAATCTGCTCCCCCTCGGGAAATTAGTCCACCAAAGCACATTCCAGCACCGCCCAAAGTAACAGTTCCTACCCACACTCCATCCGGGAGACAGAGAACTGTGACTGAGATAGCAGCGGAGATAAAGAGGAAGAAACAACAAATTGCTCTGACAAATGCCAGGATACACCTGCAGAAAAGAGTTGAGGAGCAGAAGTTGAGCAAGAAAGTTTTGGAACCAGCAGAAAAGAAGGAGGAGGTGAAAGAGATCAGGAGCAGGAACAGTGAGGAGAAGAAGAACGGTGATAAGAAGAACGGCGACAAGAAGAACGGCGACAAGAAGAACAGCGAGAAGAAGAACAACGAGAAACCAGGTTCTCCGAAACAAGAAAGCAAAAAACGCAGGATCTTCCAAGAAGTGAAGTCGAAATCCCCGTTAAAAGAGATCGACAAGGACTCCCGGAGAGCACTTGAAAAGGAGGCAGCATTATTGAAAGAGAAGCTAGAGTTTTGGGGAGGGGATCTAAAGAAACTGAGCAAGTTTCAAATTCAGATAATCCAGGTTGAGACCAGGATCAGTGACTTTATTGAAGGTCACCTCAGTGCGTCCTACGTCCAGTGCAAGATTAATGAACTGGGACAGATGTTGCGATCTCACGAGGAGAACTCCGTTACCAAAGACTGGACCTGTACTTTTGATAGGTTAGTTTCCAATTGAAATTCAAGTTTGGGTCAAGTACACACATACGGATTTCTTGAGATTATTAGTTAGATAGGCTTTAATAGGCCACAGATTTACATGTCGCGTCCGCCTTTTAAGATGATTTTTAATGATTCTACTGTGCAAAACATATACCTCTCGCCCGTAAAGCATTGATCATAATGATTTCTTATGGCAAATTATGGCCAGGGAGGAGAAAACGTATCGTTATTCCAACAAGATGACGGGGAAATCTCAACTTACGCATCCTGGAGAAGATGACGGTAAGACGCAGTAGAGCTCCCAGAGCTTTATGATTTATTACAACTATGTTTATTTATATAATATTGTAATACTAAAAATAACGGCCCAATGTGAATTAAATTCGACCCGATAAAATTCGAACCAATAAAATTCAATGATTTTTGCAAGCTTTGTTTCATTTATCTGAGCTCATTAATCCTAATTCGTACTTATAAATATAGGTTCGAGCGACAGCGAATCCGAGCGTGAGAATGACGATGATGATCTGTACGAAATGTTCCAACAAGAAATCAGTGAGGTGAGATAATGTTTTTATATGTCCTATGATATAATCCTGCATTGGCTATCATCATACCTGCGTAGTCTCTGTAGTTTTCAATTTGTGTCTGTAGGCAGCCCTCTTTGCAGTGCGAGGTACGTATCGAGGACGACTCTGACCGAAAATTGTATAATAATAATCTAGACAGCTCTTGAGGGTTGACAATGAGTCATTTCCTGCTGGATATTTGACGGTTCAAATCAGAAATTTCTCCAAGTCACTAGCTGTTTTATTAAGACACCTTCGATCGTTATATATCGTGTTTCAAACTTTCAACTTCCGTTGGTATTTTTGGTCTGACTTAAAAAAAGAGGGGGGGGGGGGGGGGGTCAACCTCATTTTACCTCATTTTACCTCATTTTACCTCATCCCAATTTTGCCTTTTTTGGCTGGCCTCGTGAGGTAAAATGAGGTAAATCTCGGCAAAAATGTTAACAGGTAAAATTCTCTAAATCGTCAATTTAGTCACGAAGGAGTATGGAAGGAGTTCTAAATGTGTGCTCCTCTAATATAAACAGTAAGAAATGGTTAACTTTAGTCGAGGTCTCAGGTCTCTACAATGTCGGGAAGTTCCTGCAGGAATTTGCGCATTGCGCTTGAAGCGCAAGATTCACAGTGCCAAAAGCGAAGGTCGTAGAGACATGAGACCTTGACTAAAGTTAACCATTTGGCATTTCATACCATTGCTATAAGAGTATGCCACTTTCAGAGTCCTGAACACACTCCCATATCTCTTAATCGTCTATTACATGTATATGAATTTTACATGTTAGCTACTAAGATGTGCTACTTTTTAATAACAATAGTCGTCAATGATCTCTTTTGTGCAGGCTATAGTGTTGTCACCGTCCCTACTTTTTATATGTTTGTAAACATAAAAGAAGGGGCGCGGCGGGTGTAATCTTCAGGTAAATCAATATCCTGCTGCTCTGTACCAAGTTCGACACACGAACATCTCAAGTTTTTATTTATGCATTGTAGGTTTATAACCTAACATGTACCAAGACGCACGCCGAGTTGGACGGGGAATCGTTTAAAATCACCTCTTACGCTATTAAGTGCTTTTTATGGAGAATACGTCAGTAGCGTTTTTGAGCTTGTAATGGCATGCAGCTGACGCAGAAAAGGGTATTTTGGTTCAAACTTGACATCCCAGTGGAATAAATTTTAAATATGACTAGGAATCCATTTTGGGAAGAAAAAAAGGCTATATATTTTTCGGCCGCTTTGCGGCCGACTTGTCACTGGTCAGCTCTTCTCCCAGGTCAAGATTAGTTTGAAATGCTTAGCGTATCCATTAGAATAATTACCGGATGAATATGCAATTGCAAATTTTGAAATTAAATAAAAAATTTCTGAGAATTCTTTAATTTATTTGAAACGCAAGGAAATATTTTTTAAAAGAACTATACAGCCTAGCCCACAGATTTTCTTACTATTCTTCATACTAACTCGGAAGAACGAGCGCTAAGATCGGACTCTCATCAGCATGATGAACGATTCGCTACTCTGATAGTGGCTTCGACCTTGTGTCGATATTTATGGCCTGACTATGGATCTGAAGCTTGCTTCTGCCAGGTTAGATACAATATTGGATAATAAACAATGATAAACTTCGGACTTAAAGCGGGATATGGATGTATAATGGAGGGGGTTGCACTGTACTCTAGATGATCTAGGATGTGAAACTTGCTTAAGCCTAGAACACGCGAGTTCCCCTGATATAGTAGCAATGGCTAGATTCACTTCCTTCCCACTTGCACTGTTGTTGACTTGTAGCTACAATATTAAATTGATTCGTGGAAATCGGTCTCGGATGTGAAGCTTCCTTAAGCACCAAACCCTGAGAATACTGTATTACTCGAACTTCGAGAATTTTCTAAATGAATCTAGACTAAAGGAGCCAACTTGAATCCATAAAATTTAGAATGCTACATTTTAAAATACCGCTCTATATTTACACCGTTCACCAGTTAATATGGCTGGGAGGATTGGGAGGATTCATATTAGATTGTCGATTGTTTAAGATTAACTTGATATTTTAGCGTATCAGAGCTGAAATTTTGCATGACTATTTCAAATGACTATTTTACATGACTATTTGTTCATATTCCGGGTTGTTGAGGAAGGAGGAATGGATAGCTCGCGTTTTCTGCGCGTTTTTTGGTGTCTGAATGCGCAAAAAATAGTCAAGCAATCTTATAGGTAAGAAATAGTCATGGAATCTAGGAATGCGCTCGATTCGAACTTCGAGTCGATAAAATGATGTAACATCGCGTTAGCCCTGAGAGCGACCAATTTTGATTTAATTTTAAATTAATGTGAATATTTTTTCCACAAGAATCTTTTTTTACCGGTTATCAACAAATTTTGACTAGGTGTTAAATTCCTGGACGCCTGACTATTTGCCACTGGGCTTGACATATACGTTGCATACCACTTTTCGCGCGCGATATTTGTGATACTTAAAGTTAACATTGAACATGTATCAAGTTCAAACTTTGAACTTAAAACTTTAAGTTTAAAGAATTAAAAGTAGCCGCATTGATCCTCCACACCTATGAGTATGACGTTAATGAACTAAAATTAGCTTTATTTTGCCGTTAAACTGCAGCTTATACTTTTTACTTCATGATTGGGTCGTAATCCAAAAAATAATTTGACAAGAAGTGGGGCTCATCGGGTCACTTACCGTCACCGGTCACTCTTAAGATTATTGACGTTGGTTCAGCAATGTCAGCTATGCTGAAATGTAATGTTATTGTTGTAACAATGTATTGTTGATCGTCAATTTGGCTCAAATTCCTGCCCCAGGAAGGGGGCAACTTATATTATATTAGCTATTAACTATTGTTACAATACTGCATTCCAACATAGCTGACACAACTTGTTATCGTTCCAGTCTTGTGGTCCTGGTTCTGACACGGAGATACAGCTGTACCCCGGCAAAGTGCCAGCCGAACTCCATTTGGATTGTTTAGACCAGCTGGCTAGAGATGAAGAGGAGTGCGGAACTCAACATGGTCATTTCGTAGTGATGCTGAGTTTAACTGTCAGAGATTTTATATAACGTGAGCTCGATAAGATGTGCTACTTTTTAAAGGATGAGGGGACCTTAGAAAAAGTTTTTTTCTCGTGCAAATCCTTTAATTACATTAATCGTATAAACCACTTTAGTGAAATCCGCAAAGTTGTATTTCATTCGCGCGCCGAGATATCCAGCCAAAACAATTTGAACCTGTGACGTCAATTATGTGAGTTGCTCTGATCCGCGCATATAGAAATACAGGTAAAATGAGCGTGCGGGCCGACTAAATTACTAATTAAGAATAAATTAACAATTTACGATACTAACGAGCCTATAACCAATGGAGAGGAGACTTTTTATGACCGGTTGAAAAAAGAATTATCACCCTACGATAACCATGAGCCGAGATACACCTGGAATAAGATTGAAGTCACACAGAAAGGCATGTAAATTATGTATATTTATAGCTCCCAACGTAACACCTAGCAACTCCCTGTTTCGTACCACAGTTGATATATCAACATGTCATATCAACACAACACGGTCCTAATAAAAATGGATCGGGTAGGTATGAAATGCATGTCTTCATTCCAGTTGGACAAGCACCAAGCTTTTAAGTTCTAACTCACTATGTGACACTACTTATAACGTAAGCAAGATTTGCAACTATTACACCAAGCAATATTATACCAAGCATAGCAGACGAACACATCCACATTCGTTACGCTTTACACTCAAGTCACAGTAAACTAAAACGGTAAATTATAATTGAGTGTACAACTAAAGGCCGGTACAAGCGCAGTGTCAAACCGCACGTGCGTACTCAGATAGGACTAGAGGCGCCAAGGGCCAGCTAGTAAAATGTCTTCTACTATATCATACATTCTTTTTAATTGTGTCCATATCGGGTTTCAAACAAGTCAAAACAAAATAGCAGTTTGTGGTTTAGTTAGCGGATGCTACTTATCTTGGCTATTTATAAATAGAAATACCTACTACAACTACAAGATAGCCTTTCTGAGTTACATTTAACTATTATTATTAAAGAGAATTATTCGTAACTTAGACTAATTCAGTGCAACCAAAGATACCGCTCTCGCAAACGCCAAAGGTAACACGACGTAATTAAAACAGAACAGTACAAAATGTTGACACGAGCAAAGGGTGCGCGCGCACGTTGGTCTTAACACATAAGTGACGTCACAGCCCAAAATTGCCATCAGCCAATAGGAGCGCGGCGTGATATTGCACGAATTATCGATTTCACAGTCCGGTGTATTTTTTGATTCTACACACTTTCACAGGACAACGCGAATATTTGGAAGTAAATTCTAAGGTCCCCTCATCCTTTAATAACAATAGTCGTCAATGATCTCTTTTGTGCAGGCTATAGTGTTGTCACCGTCCCTACTTTTTATATGTTTGTAAACATAAAAGAAGGGGCGTGGCGGGTGTAATCTTCAGGTAAATCAATATCCTGCTGCTCTGTACCAAGTTCGACACACGAACATCTTAAGTTTTTATTATTTTGCTCTTTTGCGCAACTTCTCACCTGAACAAAGAAATTCAACAAAGAAGTTTGCAGGAGGGCTTCCTTTTCATTTGTTTTGTCATGTTCATGTAAAACTCATAACCATTTTTTTGTCTTATCAGTTAATTGCTTTTGCGTCGGTTTAAACAGCTCTCACTGTGTAGCAGATAATATACTCGTGTATATTAAACTGGCCCTGCGTGTACATTGTACATCATGGTTAACAAATACTTGGAGAATCTTGACAATGAAATAGCGTTGAATTACTCTACACTCAAATTCAGATCAATGTATGCTGAACAGATTTTGGGTGCTCAGATTATGCTACTCAACGATATGCGTCAAGCGGCAGGTGTTCAGAAATCCAATGTGTTACGTAAAGAAACGCTCAACAAGCCTCAGATCACCAAGGCTACGCTG